TCTCGTCCCATCCTCCTTTGGATCCTCAGGGTCGGGAAGGGGTGTCAGGTCTAGGGGCCTCCATGGAGAGACCTCGAGGAGCCTCTGCTAGTGCTCTGAGCTGACCACACTCCCCCATTCTGTCCTCAGGAGACAAGATCCCTGGCTCTGCCGTGCTAATCTTCAGCGTTCATGTCATTGACTTCCACAACCCTGCGGATGTGGTGGAAATCAGGACACTGTCCCGGCCATTGGAGACCTGCAATGAGACCACCAAGCTTGGGGACTTTGTTCGATACCATTACAACTGTTCTTTGCTGGACGGCACCCAGCTCTTCACCTCGTGGGTCCCGGGTGGGGCCGGGACTGGGCAGGTGGGTGGGCACAGGCATGGGGAGTCCTCCTCACCGTACCCCGATGCCTGCTCCTCCCTCTTGGTCCTCGAGCGCCAGGGGAGCATTCAGCCTCTTGCTGCTTCTGTAAGTCCCCATCTCAGAGCATGCCGGGGAGCCATGAGGAGATGAAATTCTCTGCGTCGCCGGGGAAGGGAAGGTGAAGCCAACCGCTGTGGGAGAACTGCTCTTTCCGTTTCACAGAGGGGAAACTGACGCAGGGAGCCATGAGCCCTCGAGGCCACACTTTAGGGGGCAGAGGCAAGATGAGAAGGGAACCCCACATCTGCACCGCTGGGCCCCTGCACTCTGCTGCATGGCCCAAGTCACCAGTGGGAGTCACTCCGGAACTGAGGGCTTGTTCTGGGCCCACGTCAGAGACAGTGGGGTGTGCGCTGGCAGAGGACAGGTTGGCTGCTGACCTGGGCATCTGCTCTCCTCCAGGCATGACTACGGGGCCCCCCAGGAGGCGACTCTGGGGGCCAACAAGGTGATCGAAGGCCTGGACACGGGCCTGCAGGGCATGTGTGTGGGAGAGAGGCGGCAGCTCATCGTGCCCCCGCACCTGGCCCACGGGGAGAGTGGAGGTGAGGGGCTGAGACCGTAATCTTGTTTTTTTTTTGAGATGGAGTCTCACTCTGTCACCCAGGCTGGAGTGCAGTGGCGTGATCTCAGCTCACTGCAACCTCTGCTTCCCAGATTCAAGCGATTCTCCTGCCTCAGCCTCCCTAGTAGCTGGGATTACAGGTGCCTGCCACTATGCGCAGCTAATTTTTGTATTTTTAGTAGAGATGGGGTTTTGCCATATTGGTCAGGCTGGTCTTGAACTCCTGACCTCAGGTGATCCACCCGCCTTGGCCTCCCAAAGTGCTGGGATTACAATCGTGAGCCACTGCGCCCGGCCCGAAACTGTAATCTAACTGGCATCCGTAATCTAACTGGCATCCGTCCCTTTTGCTCCTGCCCATTGTGGGCCTGAGAGCTGGTGGGAGGAGTCAGGAATGCCTTCAGGATGGCTCCTTAAACATCCCATGCCCCACTCTCCAGCCTAGCCCCAGGAGGGGAAACTGGCCTGTGGGCTGGGAAACAGTGAAGCCAGGCCCAGACCCTGGCCTGACTAGGACCCCTCCCTTCTCTCCTGCCCTCCCTCCAGCCCGGGGAGTCCCAGGCAGTGCTGTGCTGCTGTTTGAGGTGGAGCTGGTGTCCCGGGAGGATGGGCTGCCCACAGGCTACCTGTTTGTGTGGCACGAGGATCCTCCTGCCAACCTGTTTGAAGACATGGACCTCAACAAGGATGGAGAGGTCCCTCCAGAGGAGGTGAGTGAAGGTTCAGTCTTAATAACCATGCCCACGCACTCCCCGCACCCAAGAAGCATCGAGGAAGATGTCCCCGTCCGGACTGCCCACCTGCCCTCATGCTCCTGCCTGTGCTGAGTCCTGTGCCTCAGGCTCCTCACCCCTACCGTTTCCTGGGCACACATGCAGGCTGTTCCCTACCTGAAACCAGTCACAGACTATCCCCCATGCCATGCCTCCACCCCGGCCCCCACCAGGACCCCAGCACCAGTGCCTTTCCCAGCCCTGCCTGAGTTACAGGGTGTGGGGGAGCCTGGGAAAAAATAAGAAAAAGAAAGCACGCACTGACCTCCAGCTGGGGCCCCTCCCAAGGCCATCACCCTCACTGCCCACTCCCCCGGCTCTCCCCTCCCCTAGTTCTCCACCTTCATCAAGGCTCAAGTGAGTGAGGGCAAAGGACGCCTCATGCCTGGGCAGGACCCCGAGAAAACCATAGGAGACATGTTCCAGAACCAGGACCGCAACCAGGACGGCAAGATCACAGTCGAGGAGCTCAAGCTGAAGTCAGATGAGGACCAGGAGCGGGTCCACGAGGAGCTCTGAGGGGCAGGGAGCCTGGCCAGGCCTGAGACACAGAGGCCCACTGCAAGGGGGACAGTGGCGGTGGGACTGACCTGCTGACAGTCACCCTCCTTCTGCTGGGATGAAGTCCGGGAGCCAACTAAAACCATGGCAGAGGCGACATCTCTGGTGTTCCCACCACCCTAGGTGAAACTCCACAGCACAGACCTCTACCCCGTTTCTCTTCCATCCCCAAACCCCTTTAAAATGTTTGGATTTGAAAGCCAATTTGGGGCTGGTGGAGCCTGGGGTTGGACAGGGCCATGGCTGGTCCCCACCATACCACCCCTCCACATCACAGGCACAGCTGAGCTTGTCCCTCTCCCCAACCTTCTCTTCATTTGTACTTCTTGTTATCCCCACTCCCAGCCCCTATTCCTCTCTGTGACAGCTCCCTAGGACCCCTCCACCTTCCTCCCCATTCCTGACTGGCTCCTAGGGAAGGGGACAGCTCCTGGAGGGCAGCCCTACCTCTCCCATCCCTTTGCCCTCCTCCCTCGCCTCCAGTGGAGGCTGAGCTGACCCTGGGCTGCTGGAGGCCAGGACTGGGCTGTAGTTAGCTTTTCATCCCTAAAGAAGGCTCCTTTCCCTAAGGAACCATAAAAGAAGAAAACAGAGGGCATGTGTGAGGGAACCTGCTTGGGTGGGTGTTAGGGTTATGAAATCTTGGATTTGGGGCTGAGGGCTGGGAGGGAGGGCAGAGCTCTGCACACTCAAAAGGCTAAACTGGTGTCAGTCCTTTTTTCCTTTGTTCCAAATAAAAGATTAAACCAATGGTCTTAGGGTGTCTTTTGGAACAGGTTGAGGAGCAGAGGGGAATGGCTAGCGGGTTAAGCGGGGGTTGTGGGAGGCCTTTAGACCCAGAGATTGGGGAAAAAGTTAAACCAGGCTGTTTCCATGGCCTCATTAGTTCCAGACAGCGGTGTGTCCCCAGATTGGGGGCTCCCCATCTGGAGGTTTCCTGCCTGCCCTGGGCCTAACCTGGGGGCTTGGCTGCAGGAAGGGAGGCCTGGTCTGTGGAGGGGGTGAATGTGTAGAGCGGGGAGGCCTCCAGCAGGGCATGGAGAGAGGATCCTCATCCTCCAATTGTCACAATTGAATGGGAAAGACAAAGTCCCTGACCTCAAACACAACCTACAAAGTTCAAGGATTAAATTAAACCGCGCAAGTCAGATTATCCTTTTCCATAGATCATTTCCAATACTACGATATTCCCATCTCTCCCTGCTCCTGGCCACTACCTGTTACCACCTGTCCACCCTCTTGCTAGGGGAAAGGTAACCGAGTTCAGATCTCCACAGTGTCTTGCAAGAGGACTTCAGCCACCAACCAGGCCATCTGTCCTCGCCAGGCATTCAGGGGACGGGGTGGGGACTTAGGAGAGAAAATGACAGGACCGGACTCACACAGCAAACTGCCTCCATCGGCACTTCTTGCCCAGGGTCCCCTAAGAGACATGACTGCTCCCCATGGGCAGTAACTGACATTCTCTGGTCCCAAAGCATCCAGAAAGCTCCTTGATTGAAGTGTTTTTTTTCGAGACAGGGTCTCACTCTGTCACCCAGGGTGGAGTGCAGTGGTATGATCTCAGCTCACTGCAACCTCCGCCTCCCGGGTTCAAGTGATTCCCCTGCTTCAGCCACCTGAGTAGCTGGGATTACAGGCACGCGCCACCACACCCGGCTTATTTTTGTATTTTTAGCAGAGACGGTCTTACCATGTTGGCCAGGCTAGTCTCAAACTCCTGATGGCAAGTGATCCACCACCCTGGCCTCCCAGAGTGCTGGGATTACGGGTGTGAGCCACTGCGCTGGCCAAGAAAGCTTCTTGATTAAAGTCTGGAAGTGGTTACTGACCCAGTCTCAGATGGTGACCACTCCCTCCTCCCAAAACCAAATGGAACAGGCCTGAAGCAGGGAAATGCAGCCAAAGGCATGGGCTTTGGTCAGGAACGTTCAAATCCTGGCTCCAGCTCCTAGCTACGGAGTTTGGGCAAGTTACCCATCCTGCCCGAGCCATCTGGAAGCAGGAAGAGCTGCACCTACTTGTGGGGTCATTGTGAGGGTCAACTGGCAGACACCCAAATGCCCATAGCGGCACCTGGCACACCGCAGGCCTTCAGTAACGTCTGTATTACCTCCCGGTTCACATCTGCAGAATAACAGAACTTTCCAACAGCTAGTCAAACATTGCAGGAAAGGTGCCGGTGATTTCCTCTAAAGCTAAGACAATGCTGAACTGGCTCTTCAGGGTCAGCCCAAGAATGCAAGACCACAGTGCACACATCACTTCTTTCACCTTGGGACCCTCAGGTCCCTGCTCTAAATTCTCCTTTTCAGGTCATCCACTTTGGTGGCCCTGACCCAGAAGAGGTGAAAGGAGAGCCTAGGGCATAGGGGGATACCCACACCCGAATGCATCCCCTCAGGGATCCCCAAAGAGGGGGCTCTCAGACAGGGTTGCCTCAACCCCACCGATCCCAAATGAATTTCAAGTTTGATGGCTGAATCAGAATAAAGTCAAACCACTGTAGGCTAGAAAATACCCTTTCAACCCCACCCTGAACCAGACACAATCAGGCTGTGCTCGGATGGGGTCCCAGGCCAATTTGTGGTGGTTCCCAAACTGTGTTCCTAGAAGCATCACTTGTGCCCCCAGGGCCAAGAGGTCCAGGTTCTACCCCCACCCACATCCCCTGAATCAGAACAGCTGTTTTTTTCATTTTAAAAATTTTGATCTGTTTCACACATTATATTTGTTTGAAGAACAACTTCCCATTTTTAAAAGTGTTGAAAAAAATCCCTGGAATAGACAATCCCTAGAGCACTGACATGCTGTGGTCCAAGGTTCACCAGGAACAGTGCTTGTGCCCTGCCACATGGCGGGGCTCCTTCAAGCCTCTGGTGATGAAGGTGCTCAGGGAAAGGACGGAGGGGTATGGAAGGACCCAGCCGTTGCTGGCCACCCTGGCCTCTGCTCTGTGTCCATGGGGGAGCGGACTCCTCACCACGGCCTGCAGGTCGGGCTGAAGCCTGTGCCCTCAGGGGCCTTGCATCTCCAGCTGGTCCCCCTGGCACAGGATGTGCTGCAGCAGCCCATTGACCACATCCAGAGTCTCGTCCTTCTCCAGCACGATGTCATAGGAGTCCATGTAGCGCTCCCGCCGCTCCTCCACCTGCCCGGAGTGAGAATAAGAAGCCTGAGGGTCCCCAAATGCCCCACCCTCCATAGCTCACTCTCAAAGCCCCTGGGGCTGGGGAGGAGAGCATTCAAGCAGCAACTCCCAGCTCCCTTTTGAGAGCCAGAGGAGTTAAAGGTTACCAGAACTACCCTTTGGAGACAGATGAGGGATGGGCATGGGCTATCACAATGAACCCTTGGGTCAATACCAAAGGATAGTAACAAGGAATAAAAACAAAAAACCAGATGTTGCCACTTTGGGAGGCTGAGGTAGAAGGACCATCTGAGCCCAAGAGTTTGAGACCAACCCAGGCAACATGGCAAAACCCCATCTCTACAAAAATTGGCTGGGCATGGGGGTGGGTACCTGTAGTCCCAGCTACTTGGGAGGCTGAGGCAGGAGGATCACTTGAGCCCAGGAAATTAAGGCTACAGTGAGCCAAGACTGAGCCATGACACTCCAGCCTAGGTGACAGAGTGAGGCCTTGTCTCAAAAAACAAACAAAAAAAAAAAAACAGATGTTGCCTCTAATTCATCTGGATTGAATTTCTTTATTTCTTTCTTTCTTTTTGAGATACGGTCTGACTCTGCTACATAGGCTGAAGTGTAGTGGCATAACCTTGGCTCACTGCAGCTTTGACCTCCGGGACTCAAGTGATCTTCCTGCCTCAGCCTCCTGCGCAGCTAGAACTACAGGCATGCTCACCACACCAGCTAATTTGTGTTGTTGTTGAGACAGGGTCTCATTATGTTGCCCAGGCTGGCCTCGAACTCTGGCCTCAAATGATCCCCCTGCCTTGGCCTCCCAAAACTGGGGGGGAGTTACAGGCATGAGCCACTGTACCCGACCAGGACCCAGTTTTTTTGTTAGTTTTTTTGAGACGGAGTCTCACTCTGTCACCAAAGCTGGAGTGCAGCAGCACCATCTCAGCTCACTGCAGCCTCCACCTCTGGGTTCCAGCGATTCTCCTGCCTCAGGCTCCCGAGTAGTTGGGATTACAGGCATCACCACCACACCCGGTTAATTGTGTATTTTTAGTAGAGACGGGGTTTCTCCATGTTGGTCAGGCTGGTCTTGAACTCCTGACCTCATGATCTGCCTGCCTCAGCCTCCCAAAGTACTGGGATTACAGGCGTGAGCCACCACGCTCAACAGGACCCAGTTTCATCCGGCCTGAGCATTCTGGTGGGCTCCGGTGCCTGCAGGCTGCGGGGAGGCACCCTGGCAGCTGCTTGGCTTCACCCCGTATTTGAGCCCCTTTATGACAATGCTGCTTTCACCCCCATCAGTCCCTGATCTGTTCTTGTTACTTTTCTTCTCTAAATTATAAACCCATGTCCTCAGCTGGGCACAGTGGCTCACACCTGTAATCCTAGCACTTTGGGAGGCCAGGAGTTCAAGGTCAGGAGTTCAAGACCAGTTTGGCCAACATGCTGAAACCCTGTCTATACTAAAAACACAAAAATTAAGTTGGGCATGGTGGCGGGCACCTGTAATCCCAGCTACTTGGGAGGCTGAGGCAGGAGAATCACTTGAACCCAGGAGGTGGAGGTTGCAGTGAGCCAAGATTTCGTCACTGCACTCCAGCTTGGGCGACAGAGCGAGACTCTGTCTCAAAACAAATAAAAAATAAAAAAAAACCCATGTCCTCAATACCAACATCTCCCATCTCAATCATGCCTTCCAGTAGGATGTAGGAGGACTGTTTCCTGAACTCTATCATCTTAGGCAAGTTACTTAACCCCAGGCCTCAGTTTCCTCATCTGTAAAATGAGGATAACAGTCACTACCTTAAGGGGTTATAAAAATCAAATGAATTAATATCCATGAAATGCTGAGAGGAGTGACAGTGCAGTGCACAATCAGTAAACTGAGGCTAGGATCCCATGCCCGGCCTGATCCTCTCTCTGAACGCCTGTAAGGTCATGTGGTAAGACAAAGCTGTAATCACTGGGTTTCTGTTTCCTACGAGATTATGTGCTCCAAGAGAATACAGCTTCCTTCTGTGCCCATAATATTTTACCTAGTGTCTAGCATATAGGTGTTCAAAGGTGGCTGGGTGCAGTGGCTCACGCATGTAATCCCAGCACTCTGGGAGGTGAAGGTGGGCGAATCACTTGAGGTCAGGAGTTCAAGACCAGCCATGGCCAACATGGTGAAATCCCATTGCTAGTAAAAATACAAAAATGAGTCAGGCATGGTGGCACGCACCTATAGTCTCAGCTACTCAGGAGGCTGAGGCAGAAGAATCACTTGAACCTGGGAGGTGGAAGTTGCAGTAAGCCAAGATTACGCCACTGCACTCTAGCCTGGGTGACACAGCGAGACTCTGTCTCGAAAAAAAAAAAAAAAAAAAGAATGTGTTCAAAGTGTTCAAAGGCATTTGTTAACGGGCATTCAAAGAGAAGAAAGCCATGAAGAGAAGCAGCCCTGGTCCTCTACCCACCTTGTCATTCAGGAAGCCAATCTTGAGAATGTTCTGCACACCAGGAACCCCATCGGCCATGGTGAGGTCCCCAATGGAGTCTCCCAGCAGGATGACATTGGTTTTGCCCTCAAGTTGCTGGAAGTAACCAGAGTTCTCACACACGGAGCTGTTCTTGTTGTATGTGTGTATGAGCTGGCCCTTAAATCCCTGGAGAAAACCCTAAATAACGAAGACAAGAGACAGATGGAAGGGCCGCAGGGACCCATGTGGCATCAGCTCTCCACTGTCTCTGTCACAGAGAAAAGGGAATCCCAAAAGTGATAGATAATGCCAAAACTTCACTGTAGCCTAAACTAGGGCCCCTGGGCCAGACTTGGCCTGCTTTTGTAAATAAAGCTGTATTGGGATACAGCCAAACTCCTTTGTTTACATGATGCCTATGGCTGCTTTTTTGTACTATAAAGGCAAAGTTGGGCAGTTGCAACAGTGATGCCACGGCCCACAAAGCCTAAATATTGACGACAGAGGTAACTCCTAGTTTAAATGAACAGGAGCCACCCAATATCGCAGATCATCTGTTCGTGGATGCACGAAGCTGTGATACAAATGCCGCTCAGGTTACACGAGTGCTAATGCTCAGCTGCGGGCCACCTCCTCCCTGCAGGTCAACGTGATGAAAATTCCAACTGTCAGTTTTATGGGGAAAAGAGTCAGAACGTGGATGAGCTGGAGCAGCCCACCTCCGGCTTGGGAAAAACAAATCAACGCCCATGCCCTGCAGGACCCAGGATGGCACATAACACATGACAGTGACATGGGGCAGGGCAGGCCCATAAATTAGGTACCCCAGGGCAGAGAGTTGACTGTCAGGCAAACACCAAAGAGAGAGGATCCTTTGAAAGTTTTTTTGTTTTTTTTTTTTTTCTGAACACAGTCTTGCTCTGTTGCCCAGGCTGGAGTGCAGTGGTACGATCTTGGCTCACTGCAACCTCTGCCTCCTGGGTTCAGGCGATTCTTCTGCCTCAGCCTCCCAAGTAGCTGGGATTACAGCTGCACACCTCCACGCCTGGCTTATTTTTGTATTTTTAGTAGAAACGGAGTTTCACCATGTTGGCCAGGCTGCTCTCAAACTCCTGACCTCAAGTGATCTGCCTGCCTCGGCCTCCCAAAGTGCTGGGAATACAGGTCTGAGCCACAGCGCCTGGCCAAAAAGTAACCCATAAACAACTGCAAGAGGGTGAAGAAGCCAGTGTGGCTTACCTCCCCTTCTTCCCCAGGTTAGGGTTCATGCAGAGTTAACCGCCCTGGCTGGTGGTCCCCACCCCTCGTCCTTTCCCAGCCCAAACAAGATTTGGCTCACATCTTCGTTAAAATCCATGTAGTTAGACACAATGTGGATGTTGGGGTGGAAAACTTTCATCTGTCGGATAATTTCTTCCAGGATATCACCAATGCCCGCAGAAAAGATGAAAAGGGGAATGTTGTTATGGTAGAGTGTGTTGAAGAAGGTCTTGTATCCCTCCCTGAAAAGAGATGGAGGAATTCTGAAATGGCACTGACTCCGCTGCTGTTCTTTGTTTCCTACTTGGGTTATTTGTGTTTTTTGTTTGTTTGTTTGTTTTTGTTTTTTTTTTTTTGTGAGACAGGGTCTTGCTCTGTTGCCCAGCCCGGAGTGCAGTGGCACAATCACAGTTCACTGTGACCTCAACCTCCTGGGTTCAGGTGATCCACCCACCTCAACCTCCCAAGTAGCTGAGACCACAGGTGTGCGCCACCACACCTGGCTAATTTTTTTACGTTTTGTAAACATGGAGTTTTCCTATGTTGCCCAGGCTGGTCTTGAACTCCTGGGCTCAAGCAACCCATCCATCCTGGCCTCCGAAAGTGCTGGGATTACAGGTGTGAGGCAAGATCACACCATTGCACTCCAGCCTGGGCAAGAGAATGAGACTCCAGCTCAAAAAATAAATAAATAAAATAAAAATAAAATAAAATAGAGCATACGATATATTCAATAAGTGGCTAAAGGGTGCTAATCCTAAGTGTTCGGCTCAGTTAACTTTGCCATACGTATACACCCATGTTACTAACTAGCTTGAGGCTCCCTCGTGATCTCTCCCAGTCAATATCATCCCTCCCATTGATTAGCTTTGCCTGTCCTTGAACTTCATATAAATGGACTCATACACAATGTACTCTTTTGTGCCTGGCTTATTTTGTTCAGTATAATGCTATGTAGTTTATTTGTATTTTGCATGTAATTAGTTTATTCTCTGTCACTGCTATTCAGCATTATTCCACCATATAGATATGCCACAATTTATCTACCCAGCTTCTTCTTGATAGACAGTTGAGAGATTTCCAGATTTCAGCTGTTATGGATACAGCTACCACGAATACCCTGTGCATATCTTATAGTGGCTACATGCCCTCATTTCTCTGGGGTACATACCTGGGAGAGATGCTGCTGTGGCAGAAGGTAGGCATATGTTTTCTGTTGCTGTCAATACAACCAGGCAGCTGACCTGGGCACCTTCACTAGGGCACACCCACTCCCACCCCGGCACTTACTGGGTCAGCACAGGTCTCCACTGTCTTGACTTTTGAGGAGCTAGCCAATCTCCTCAGTTAGGAGGCACAACCCTTGAGGGCAGGCACCCATGTCACTCCTTCCTTTATGAGCCCTGGTCCCTCCTCCAGGAAAGAAATCTCCAGCAGAGACAGCTGTTCAGTGAAGGCCGCCAATGATCAAGCGTCCCAGCCTAGCCAACTCCCAGTTGCCATGAACACCAGTCACCAGAGGGACCCCAAAAGTCTTTCACCATTGTGAAAAATGAGCTAGACTTGGTGGGGTGCGGTGGCTCACGCCTGTAATCCCAGCACTTTGGGAGGCCGAGACGGGCGGATCACAAGGTCAAGAGATTGAGACCATCTGGCCAACATGGTGAAACCCTGTCTCTACTAAAAATACAAAAATTAGCATGGTGTGGTGGTGGGCACCTGTACTCCCAGCTACTCGGGAGGCTAAGGCAGGAGAATCGCTTGAACCCAGGAGGCGGAGGTTGCAGTGAGCTGAGATCGTGCCACTGCACTCCAGCCTGGCGACAGAGTGAGATTCCGTGAAAGAAAAAAGAAAAGGAGAGGGGAGGGGAGGGGAGGGGAGGGGAGGAGAGGGGAGGAGAGGGGAGAGGAGAGGAGAGTGAAAGAAAGGGAAAGAAAGGAAAGAAAGCAAGAAAGCAAGAAAGCAAGCAAGCAAGCAAGCAAGCAAGCAAGATGAGCTAGACTTGGTTTGTTCTCAGAGATGGTGCCCTGCCATTTGGTACTACATCCACTACCTGCTGACTGTTTCCTAGCAAGGGTAAGACATTCTTTAGCTGTATCACATCAGTTGTTCATAGTGCCATGTCCCTTCCGGTCCTTTAAGCAACTAACTCCTCTCTACTCTTCCCCTGCCTCTTTTTTTTTTTTTTTGAAGAAAACACTTTTAAATAGTCTGATAGAAATGTTTTCCAGAGCAAGACGCTTACCTGAGCATTGCATTGGACTCTCTAACCACCTGGGCTATCTGAAACTTCTGAATCTTCTGCTGACACAGGAGGTTGTGCGCTTTGGTCCACCTAGAAACAGACACCCCAGAAAACCCCAAATTCAAATCACTCAAGTAAATAATTCCTCCTTTCCCTTTAAAGAGCCAAGTGCCCTCTGACAGCATTGCCGACAGAGGCCTCATCCTTACGTTAGCTTCCTTTAAAAGGAAGACGGTGGCCAGGCACGGTGGCTCATGCCTGTAATCCCAGCACTTTGGGAGGTCAAGGCGGGTGGATCACCTGAGATCAGGAGATCGAGACCAGCCTGGCCAACATGGCGAAACCCCATCTCTGCTAAAAATACAAAAATTAGCTGGATGTGGTGGCAGGTGCCCGTAGTACCAGGTACTCGGGAGGCTGAGGCTAGAGAATCACTTGAACCCAGGAGGGGGAAGTTGCAGTGAGCCGAGACTGGGCCACTGTACTCCAGCCTGGGTGACAGAGTGAGACTCCATCTCAAAAAAAAAATAAAAAAAAAAAGAAGGGAAGAGGATGAGAAAGCAACCCAACAGAGATAAGTGCCGGGCAAGCTGGCTGCTGGGGCTGGCGCTCTTCTGAGTTCCTTCCTCCGCGACCAGTCTATCTGGAGAACTGGGGCTCTGTCCAGTGATGAGGGTTGCTGTGGTTTGAATGTGTTGGAAACTTGATCCCCAATGTGGAGGTGTTGAGAGATGGGGCCTAATGGGAGGTGTCACGGGGGCACCATCCTCATGAATGGATTAATGTCATTATCACAGATTCCTTATAAAAAGAACTCCTCTCTTTCTCTTTCTCTCTCCCCCACCCTCTTTCCCTTCCACAATGAGATAATGCAGCAAGAAGAAGGCCCTCACCAAATGCCAGCCAGTCCTTTGATACTGGACTTCCCTGCTTCCAGAACTGTGTGCCAATAAATTGCTATTCATTATACATTACCCAGTCTAGGCTGGGTGCAGTGGCTCACGCCTGTAACCCCAGGATTTTGGGAGGCCAAAGTGGGAGGATCGCTTGCGCTTAGGAGTTGAAAATAGCCTGGGTAACATGGTGAGACCCCATCTCTACTAAAAATAGAAAAAATGAGCCAGGCACGGTGGCACAAGCTGAAGTGGGAGAATCGCTTCAGCCCAGGTGGTCGAAGCTACAGGGAGCCACGATCATGCCACTGGACTCCAGCCTGGGCAACAGAGCAAGACCCTGTCTCAAAAAATAGAAAAAATATATAAATTACCTAGTCTGTTATTCCGTGACAGCAGCACAAAACAGACTAAGAGTCACTTCCGCAAAGCACTTATTCCCCGACACCAACGGTCTTTAACTTATTCCAAGGATTTTCTGAGGGTCTCCACTCCAGCAGCAGGCACAAAAAGCCCCGGGTTCATCTGAAAAGTTTGTTCCAATAGCTGGACTAATAGCATTAAATTAAGCCCTCAGTAAAGTAAGGGAGTCTGTCATCTCATCAAAGGTCTGGAAAACTACGCCCCTCCCAGCCTACTCCATCTCAAGGGCCCAGAAGCTTTTCTCCACCACCATCACTCACCATTCCACCATATGAGGTAGCTTCTCCTTGATGGTCCGGTGTGGGTCGATCTCAATTGGGTAATAGTGGTGAAGGAGCGCTGTGAGCTGGGATATCCAAATGGGGAGAAAGGCCATTAGTCTATATCAAGTTCTTCCCTGTCAAGTCCTACAGCTTAGTATGAGAAAAAAGTCACCTAGAAGAGGCAACTTCATGGCCAGAGGCGGTGGCTCACATCTGCAATCCCAGTGCTTTAGGAGGCCAAGGTAGGTGGATCACTTGAGGTCAGGAGTTTGAGTCCAGCCTGGCCAACATGGTGAAACCCTGTCTCTACTAAAAAATACAAAAATTAGCGGGTGTAGTGGCACATGCCTTTAATCCCAACTACTCAAGAGACTGAAGAATGAGAATCGTTCGAACCCAAGAGGCGGAGGCTGCAGTGAGCCAAGACGATACCATACCTCTGCACTCCAGCCTGGGCCACAGAGTAAAACCGTGTCTCAAAAAAAAAGAAGATGCAACTTCATTTAAGAGAGTGTTACATGAAATTTTCTTCAAGTTTTCCTTTGGGGACGTGTCGTTTATAAGACCTAAGTTTCTCTTCTCTTCTTATCTTCCAACATAATTGCTCAATACACTTACATTTTTATCTATTTGGTGAAGTCCAGGGAGCACCTGGACCCACAGAGCTGGTCATTCCTTTGCACTCATCCTGAGAGTGAGGTCTAAAAGTCAGCACTATGAAATTTTACTATCAGAGAAGAAGGGTACTAAGATTTTTTTTGCTGGTATTAATTAGCTGAATCGTCAGGGCTTAACCAGTAAGAACTTACTTAATGCTGTGTTTTGCAGAATGTGGTCCACTTTCTTAGGTGATAGGTAAGATAACTTTAGGGAATTCATGGAGAAGTGCTTTTCAACTCAGTAGTTTTGGATTCATTTTCATGTAGAATTTTTTTTTTTTTTTTTTTTTTTTTTGAGACGAAATCTCACTCTGTCACCCAGGCTGGAGTGCAGGGGCGCAATCTCAGCTCACTGCAACCTCCGCTTCCCGGGTTCAAGCAATTCTTCTGCCTCAGCCTCCCGAGTAGCTGGGACTACAGGCATGTGCCACCGTGCCCAGCTAATTTTTGTATTTTTAGTAGAGACGAGGTTTCACCAGGTTGGCCAGTCTGGTCTCAAACTCCTGACCCCATGATCCACTTGCCTCGGCCTCCCAGAGTGCTGGGATTACAGAAGTGAGCCACCGCGCCGGGCTCTTTTTTTTTTGAGACAGAATCTGGTTCTGTCTGTTGCCTAGGCTGGAGCGCTCCCTGCAATTTCTGCCTCGCAGGTTCAAGCTATTCTCCTGCCTCAGCTTTCCAAGTAGCTGGGATTATAGGCATGCACCACTACTCCCAGCTAATTTTTTGTATTTTTCATAGAGACAGGGTTTCGCCATGTTGTCCAGGCTAGTCTCGATCTCCTGACCTCAACCGATCTGCCCGCCTCGGCCTCCCAGAAATGCTGGGATTACAGGCGTGAACCACCACACCCGGCCTGTTTCTTTATAAGTTAATTACAATTTTTAAAAGCAGGCCAATTTAGAGAAAGATCTAGTAAAGGTGATACACAGATATGGCCAAAAAAAAAAATGAAATTTAACTAGAAGACTATACTTTGGGACACAGCATGTTGGTGGACAATTCCGTCAAAGTGTCAATATCATGTGAATGCACAGCATCTACATGTGTTTCCTCTAAGGTTTCCTTCTATGTGCCAAGACTTTGACACTCTAAAGGAGCTGTTCCAGGGATCATGTGTCACACAGAGCCAGTCAATAACAGTGCCCAGTAAAAATGAGAATTGACCAAGTAAAGAATTTTAATTCATGAGTGATTCTCAGGAACATTACAAGATCAAATGGAATCCCTGTCTATCTGTCCAAAAGAAGATTAAATGCAAAGCTGACATAGTAACAAAGGCAGAAAACTCCTGAAATGTATTAAGATTCTCAATGTATGTGTTTTTTTGGAGTGAGAACATTTTTCTAAAAATTAGGCTGAGCAAGATAGCTTACGCCTGTAATCCCAGCACTTTGGGAGGCCAACGCGGGCGGGCAGATCACCTGAGGTCGGGAGTTCAAGACCGGACTGGCCAACATGGTGAAACCCCGTCTCTACTAAAACTACAAAAATTAGCTGGGCATGGTGGTGCATGCCGGTAATCCCAGCTACTCGGGAGGCTGAGGCAGGAGAATTGCTTGAACCTGGGAGGAGGAGGTTGCAGTGAGCTGAGACTGCACCATTGCACTCCAGCCTAGGCAACAAGCGCGAAACTCCATCTCAAAAATAAATAAATAAATAAATAAATAAAAATAAAAATATACTAGAACTCGGCTGGATGTGATGGCCCAGGCCTGTAATCCTAGCATTTTGGGAGGTCAAGGTGGGCAGATCCCTTGAGGCCAGGAGTTTGAGACCAGTCTGGCCAACATGGCGAAACCCCATCTCTACTAAAAATATAAAAATTAGCCGGGCATGGTGGTGCATGCCCCTAATCCCAGCTACTACTTGAGAGGCTGAGGCATGAGAATTGCTTGAACCCAGGTTGCAGTGAGCTGAGACTATGCCACTCCAGCCTGGGCGATAGAGCAAGACTCTGTCTCAAAAAAAAAAAAAAAAAAAAAAACCACAAAACTATATATATATATACACACACACACACACACACACATATATGTGTACACACACACACAGACACACACTAGAACCCAACAGAAGAATATAAATTTTCTTTTAAAAAGGCCAGGTGCGGTAGCTCATGCCTATAAGCCCAACACTTTGGGGAGGCTGAGGCAGGAGGATTGCTTGAGTTCAGGAGTTCAAGACCAACCTAGGCAACATAGTGAGACCCCATCTCTATAAAAAATTTTTAAAATTAGCTGGTGTAACGGCACATGCCTGTAGTTCCAGCTACTTGGTAGGCTAAGGCAGGAGGATCGCTCGAGCTTGAGTAATGATCAAGCCACTGCACTCCAGCCTGGGTGATAGAGTGAGACTCTGTCTCAAAACAAACAAACAAACAAGCTCTGCTATTTGGCTGTATGATCCTGGGTAAGTTGTTGAACCTCCATAACGTTCAAATCTCTTGTAAACTCTATAGCCAACTCTAAGTATAATGTTTAGTTCCAACCATTAATCATCATATGTCCTGGCCAGTAAGGAAAAGCTGTCTTAATGTATTAAAACTAGATCCTCCTTAGCAAAACAACAAATTTTTAAAACTTAATTTTCTAAGGTCTCTATACAGGAACCTTTGGTTCCAATCAGGAACCATTTGAAGTAGCATATGACAACCATTTCTGAGCAAAGGACGGGAGCAACCCACCTCTTTCCGACACTCCTCACTGATGATCTTGCTATTATCCAAAATATCTGGAAAAAGAGAAAACTCCTTTTACTTGTCCCTTAGAACCCATCATCTTGTCAAGCCCAACAAGGCAAGCTAGAATGTGACTTACTGTAAGAAGAAGGACATCGCTTTCCATTATATGCAAACCTGCTCAAGGTCATGTCAAAATCAGAAATCACCTGTAAGGCAAAAGAGAGATGATGCCTAAATAGGCACCTTCTAGTGTGGCCCTGCCTCAGCCAGAGGATGATTATGGAAATCAAAACAGCTCAGTGGCGAGGATGGTAGGCAAAGCGGTGGAGGAGTTACTGAGTGACACAGAGGTTTAGAGGGGAAGTGATCTTAATTAGTACCCGTTAACCCTGAGGAAAACGCAGTCTCCTAGTGTAGGGGCGAGGGTGAAATACTCAGGATCCCTCTGACTCCTTCAATTTCAGGTCCTTCCTAAGAGATCTCTACCATTACGGCCCATCTGGACATCTTCAACTTACTGGAGAGCCGCTGGCTTGGGGAGGATAAGGCCCCAGGTACTGGTGTGGGGCGCCTTCTGTCCAATTAGAGGAAGCAGCATGACCATATTGAGAAATCTGAAATCTGGGATTCAGGACAGGGGAACCAACCCGCTCTCCTTCAAGTTCCCGGCCATTTCTTAGGGTGGGGAGCTAGCAGGGGTCCGCGGCACAGCAAAGCGGGAAGACCCAATGGGCTGGAAGCCTCCCCAGCCGCCCCCAGCCCTGCCGGCCCCCGCCCGCCTCCGAGGTACCTGTAACCTCTCTCCGCCGCCCTTGCGGAGGACGCCCACGATCTCCTGCACCCGCCCAGGCTGCCGCATCAGGACCGTGGCCTTCATCAGGGTGCTCACCTGTCCCGAGACCCGAGAGAACCACTGACCCCCGCGCCGCGCTGGGTCCGAGGGGAGCCCGGGGCTCGCTCGGGCGCGCTTGTGAGGCTGGGCCGGGGTGCGCAATGGGGCGGCTACTGGCCTGGGTGGATCGGTGGTGCCTCGGTGACCCGCTGGGGGGCTCGGAGCGCCCCGGGGGTCGGAGTCCGGGCCCGCCCCACTCCGGACGCTTCCTCCCTCCTCACCTCCTCCGCCATCCCGTTCGAGGCCCGGTCGGTGGCGCGGGGGACAACGACAGCCCCGCGACCGCACTGCGCAGGCGTCGCCTCCCGCCTGGAGCCCGGCGGGGGCGGTGGGGCCGGGGGCGGGGCCGGGGGCGGGGCCGAGAATCGTGTGGTCCCGGAGATGGCCACGATCCGGGTGGACTTTCCCGGTGCGCTAGGCAAATTGGAGGAGGGTGCTATTTATTGTGAAGAGCAGGGTGAAGGTCCCAGGGTGTTGGGGTTACGTGGGTAGGTAGGGTTCTGCCACTCTTTGTGGAGGAAAAGCCTTGCCAAGCGTGGTCATTTCCAGGCTGAAAGTTTGTGTGACAAAAACATGGCTGGGGCTGGGCGCGGTGGCTCGCGCCTGTAATCCCAGGACTTTGGGAGGCCGAGGCAGGATCGCTTGAGCCGAATAGTTCGAGACCAGCCTGGGCAACATGACGAAACCCCGTCTCTACAAAAAATACAAAAATTAGCCGGGCGTGGTGATGCGCAACTGTAGTCCCAGCTACTCGGGAGGCTGAGGCAGGAGGATCACTTGAGCCCGGGAGGTCCAGGCTCCAGTGAGCCGAGATCGCATCACTGCACTCCAGCCTGGGCGACAGATGACACCCTATCTCAGAAACAAAAACAGAAAAACCACACGGTTGGATGGGAGGAGAGATGAAGGAGCCATAAACTGAATTATGTTAATCACCCAGCAGGTGCTCTGTTAACTAGGCCATTCCTCATTCCAGAAGAAACTGAGTGACTAACCCATCCAGGGGACTGGGAGACCCGGGACAGCTTTCTGAAATGTAATCAGCGTCAGCTGGGCACGGTGCGGAGCACCTGTAATCCCAGCTACTCAGGAGGCTGAGGTGGGAGGATCACTTGAGCCCAGGAGGTGGAGGCTGTAGTGAGCTATGATCACACCACTGCACTTCAGTCTGGGTGAGAGAGCAAGACCCGTCTCTAAAAAAAGAAAGAATTTAATTAATTAATTTTTTCTTTTCTTTTTTTTTTTTTTTAAGATGGAGTCTCTGTCACCAGGCTGGAGTGCAGTGGCACAATCTCAGCTCACTGCAACCTCCACCTCCCGGGTTTAAGCGATTCTCCTGCCTCAGCCTCCCGATTAGCTGGGACTACAGGCAGGTGCCGCCACGCCCAGCTAATTTTTCTGTTTTTAGTAGAGATGAGGTTTCACCATGTTGGCCAGGATGGCCTCCATCTCTTGACCTCGTGATCTGCCCACCTCATGCTGGGATTACAGGCATGAGCCACCACACCTGGCCTAAGAAAGAAATTTAATCAGCTTTACTTCTCCCTTCAGCCTCAACTGACTTGGATTTCCTTGAGTTCGGTGTCTAGGGAGCCAAGTGTTGGGCTGTGGAAGGTAGATGGATGCTCCAGGGATAGAATCAATAAACACTCAGTGGTCACGGTTCTGTTCTGAGTTCGAGGACACAGAAAGAGGCATGAGGTGGTTTTCAGCCTAAGTGGGGTGGTAGGGGAGAGGAGAAGGAAGCGGACAAGTCCAGGAGGCAGTTCCAGAACCTGAGAGCACAATCCTGCGTGATCTCACTGCAGGGCCAGGATTCTGGAACTTGAGTTGCCTGATAGACCCTATACGAAAGATGTAGTAGGGAAAAGAAGCGACAGCTGGCTAAAGGGGCCCCCCACCCTAGGAGAGCAGCCTCTCTCCGCTGTCCCAGGGTGCCATGGAGATGGAGAGCGCGGCGGCCTCCACACGTTTCCACCAGCCTCACATGGAGAGGAAGATGAGTGCGATGGCCTGTGAGATCTTCAACGAGCTTAGACTAGAGGGCAAGCTCTGCGACGTGGTCATCAAGGTCAATGGCTTTGAGTTCAGTGCCCATAAGAACATCCTCTGTAGCTGCAGTTCCTACTTTAGGTATAACAGGGTTGCCAAATTAAGCCAAAGGGGTAATTGGGCTCATTTGGAGACACTTTGACCCATTTTCTGGTTCCCATCCCACCACCTTAACTTTAGGGACACTGTCAAAGCTCTGGGCTCCTTAAAAAATTTTTTTTTTACATTTGTTTAGAGATAAGCTCTCATTCTTTCACCCAGGCTGAAGTGTAGTGATACAATCATAGCTCACTGCAGCCTTGAACTGCTGGGCTCAAAGGATCCCCCTACCCCAGCCTCCCAAGTAGCTAGGTCTACAGGCACATGCCACTATATCCAGCTACTTTTGAAATGTTCTATAGAGATGGAGTCTCGCTATGTTGCCCAGGCTGGTCTTGAACTCCTAGCCCAAAGCAATTCTCCTGCCTCAGTCTCCCAAAGTGCTGGGATTACCACCATGCCTGGCCAACTCTGTGGTCCAGGCAGGAGCTCCTGCCTGGCTCCTTTGCCTTCTGAAGAAGCATGACTAGGGTCAGGGCCTTTTTTCTCTGATTTTTCTGGTTTTTTTTTTTTTTTTTTTTTTTTTTCTTTGAGACAAGTCTCACTCTGTTACCTAGACTGGAGTGCAATGGCGCCATCTTAGCTCACTGCAACCTCTGCCTCCCCAGTTCAATCCATTCTCCCACCTCAGCTTCCTGAGTAGCTGGGATTACAGGTGCCTGACACCACGCCAGGCTAATTTTTGTATTTTTAGTAGAGACAGGGTTTTGCCATGTTGCTCAGGCTGGTCTCAAACTCCTGACCTCAGGTGATCTGCCTGTTTTGACCTCCCAAAGTGCTAGGATTACAGGCATTAGCCACCACGTCTGGCAAGATCTGATTTTTCTTTTTTTGAGATGGAGTCTCGCTTTGTCCCCTAGGCTGGAATGCAGTGGTGTGATTTCAGTTCACTGCAATCTCTGCCTCCCAGGCTCAAGCGATTCTCCTGCCTCAGTCTCCCAAGTAGCTGGAATTACAGGCTCCCACCACCATGCCCAGCTAATTTTTGTATTTTTAGTAGAGACAGGGTTTCACCATGTTGGTCAGGCTGGTCTGGAACACCTGATCTCGTGATCCACCTGCCTTGGCTTCCCAAAGTGCTGGGATTACAGGCGTGAGCCACCGCGCCCGGCCTTTAAGATCTGATTTTTCAACTGGATTTCAACTAACTGTTGGTGGGCTTTCATCTTTGATTCTCACCTAAACCAACCTTTGGGAAGGTTGGACATCCCTACTGGATTTCAGATGACAATGCTACTTCAGGGAGCCCCCTCTACTCCTATCCCAATAGAGACCTTTTCAAACAGGGTGATAAATTAACAAGGATTAAGGGGATGGGAAGGAGGATGAGGGGGAAACACCCGGGAAATAACAGAAGGAAAAGGGAGTTTGGGCTAAAACCATTGTAACCCAGGAGGTAGAAGGGCTATTTTGTTCATGAGCTGAAAATGTTTGAGTAATCAATTCCAATGAAGATATGATCAATGTATCCTACCTGTTGCTAAAACTTCTCATTCATGTAGACCCTAGAGCAGAGTCCACAATTTATTTTTTATTTTTTGAGATGGAGTCTTGCTCTGTCACCCAGGCTGGAGTGCAGTGGCACAATCTCGGCTCACTGCAACCTCTACCTCTCGGGTTCAAGCGATTCTCCTGCCTCAGCCTTCCGAGTATCTGGGATTACAGCTGTGTGCCACCACATCTGGCTAATTTTTCTTTTTCTTCTTTTTTTTTTTTTGAGATGGAGTTTTGTTCTTGTCACCCAGGCTGGAGTACAACGGCGCGATCTCGGCTCACTGCAACCTCTGCCTCCTGAGTTCAAGCAATTCTCCTGCCTCAGTCTCCTGAGTAGCTGGGGTTACAGATGCCTGCCACCACACCCAGCTAATTTTTTTGTATTTATAATTGAGACGGGGTTTCAACATGTTGTCCAGGCTGGTCTTGAACTCCTACTTCAGGTGAATGGCGTGAACCCGGGAGGTGGAGCTTGCAGTGAGCCGAGATGGCACCACTGCACTCCAGCCTGGGCAACAGAGCGAGACTCCATCTCAAAAAAAAAAAAAAAAAAAATTTTTTTCCTCCAGTCATTTAAAATGTGAAAATCATTCTTAATTTGTGGGCAGCAGGTGGGCCAAATTTGGACAGAGTCCATAGGTTTGCAGACCCCTGCTCTAGCGGAAGAATTTGATCTCTAAGACCACATTTCCTTAAACTTCTTACAAAAAGGAAGCAAAGGCCAGGCACAGTGGCTCATCGGTGTAATCCCAGCACTTTGGGAGGCCGAGGTGGGCAGATCACCTAAGGTCAGGACTTCAAGACAAGCCTGACCAATATGATGAAACCCTGTCTCTACTAAAAATACAAAGATTAGCTGGGTGTGGTGGCATGCATCTGTATGCCACCCAGCTACTCGAGAGGCTGAGACAGGAGAATCACTTGAACCTTGGAGGCAGAGGTTGCAGTGAGCCAAGATCATGCCACTGCAACAAAGAGTGAAACTCCATCTCAAAAAAAAAAAAAAAAAAAAAAAAAAAAAATTATTGAATGTCTATTTTGTTACAGCACTACTCTGGGTACTGAAAAAAGAAAACAACTGGCCAGATGCAGTAGCTCACGCCTGTAATCCCAGCATTTTGGGAGGCCGAGGCAGGTGGATCACCTGAAGTCAGGAGTTAGAGACCAGCCTGACCAACATGGTGAAATTGCATCTCTACTAAAAAATACAAAAATTAGTTGAGTGTGGTGGTGCACACCTATAATCCCAGCTACTCAGGAGGCTGAGGCAGGAAAATTGCTTGCACCCAGGAGTCAGAGGTTGCAGTGTGCCAAGATCATGCCATTGCACTCTACCCTGGGTGATACAGCAACACCTTGTTTCAAAAATAGAAAACAAAAAACAATGAATAAAAAGAGAAACATTCCTATTCTCATGAAGTTTACCCTCTAGAAGGGGAAATAGGAATTAAATAAGTAAAATGCATATAAAATCATCATCCTGGGCATCACTTGGGCCCAGGAGTTCGAGACCAGCCTGGGCAATATAGGGAGACTCTCCCCATCCCAATCACACATCTTATATGAACAAAACTTTTTTTTTTTTTTTTTGAGATGGAGTCTCACGCTATCACCAGGCTAGAGTGTAGTGGCGTGATCTTGGCTCACTGCAACCTCTGCCTCCCAGGTTCAAGCGATTCTTGTGCCTTAGTCTCCCAAGTCGCTGGGACTACAGGCACGTGCCACCACGCCCAGCTAACTTTTGTATTTTTGGTAGAGACAGGGTTTCACCATGTTGGCCAGGCTGGTCTTGAACTCCTGACCTCGTGATCCACCTGCTTCGGCCTCCCAAAATGCTGGGATTATAGGCGTGAGCCACCACGCCTGGCCCAAGAGACCTGGGTCTTACTCTCAGTTCTAAATCTTAATTTCTCTATCCACAAGGTAAGAGTAACCAAAGTCAAAGTTCTTTTTTTTTCCCCCAACCAAGATGGAGTCTTGCTCTATCACCCAGGCTGGAGTGCAGTGGCTCGATCTCGGCTCACTGCAAACTCCGCCTCCCAGGTTCACACTGTTCTCCCGCCTCAGCCTCCAAGTAGCTGGGACTATAGGCGCCCGCCACCACGCTCGGCTAATTTTTTGTATTTTTACTAGAGACAGGGTTTCACCGTGTTAGTCAGGATGGTCTCGATCTCCTGACCTCGTGATCCACCCGCCTCAACCTCCCAAAGTGCTGGGATTACAGACGTGAGCCACTGCGCCCGGCCCCAAAGTCAAAATTCTTCTTGTCCACTGTATATAGCACATGCCTGCACCCCGCTTCCTGAGGCCATTTCCAATGTACTCACCTAACAGGAGAGAAATATTTCCGTGGCTGCCAGTTTCTTTCTTTTTTCCAGAGCTTTGTTTACAAGTGGCTGGAACAACACTGAAAAGAAGGTATACAACATCCCTGGCATTTCTCCCGACATGATGAAGCTGATCATTGAGTATGCATATACCCGGACCGTGCCTATCACACCAGACAATGTGGAGAAACTGCTTGCTGCCGCGGATCAGTTTAACATCATGGGTATCGTCAGGGGTTGCTGCGAGTTCCTCAAGTCGGAGCTGTGCTTGGATAATTGTATCGGCATCTGTAAGTTCACAGACTACTACTACTGTCCTGAGCTGAGGCAGAAGGCCTACATGTTCATACTGCACAACTTCGAGGAGATGGTGAAAGTCTCTGCAGAATTTTTAGAGCTCTCGGTCACTGAACTTAAGGATATCATCGAGAAAGATGAGCTCAATGTCAAACAGGAAGATGCTGTATTTGAGGCCATTTTAAAGTGGATTTCTCATGACCCCCAAAATAGAAAGCAGAACATTTCAATTTTGCTTCCTAAGGTCAGTGTTCACTCTTGATTCATTTATCCCAGAGAGATTGTCCTAAAAGCAAAATTCAGACGTATGACAAATCCCAAGGCTGTATTTACATGTCCTTAGATAGAAGGCATCTACTATTCTCTGGAATTTTGCAACTCTTTTCCCTTGGCATTACTAGTTCTTTTTACCTAAGTTATATTCTTTGACCAAAATCCTTCCTGGTGGTGGGGGAAGAAGAGAGCCTTCAAAATAATTCTAGGAGGGGTGTGGTGGCTCACTTTGGGAGGTCAAGGTGGGAGAATCACTTGAGCCCAGAGTTTGAGGCCAGCCTTTACAACACAGGTTATAAAAATTTAAAAGTACAAAATTTGACCAGGTGCAGTGGCTCACGCCTGTAATCCCAGCACTTTGGGAGGCCGAGGTGGAGGGATCACCTGAGGTCAGGAGTTTGTGACCAGCCTGGCCAACATGGTGAAACCCGGTCTCTGCTAAAAATATAAAAATTAGCTGGGCGTGGTGGTGCGCACCTGTAATCCCAGCTACTCAGGAGGCTGAGGCAGGAGAATCACTTGAACCTGGGAGGCAGAGGTTGCAGTGAGCCAAGATCATGCTATTGCACTCCAGCCAGGGCAACAGAACAAGACTCCATCTCAAAAAAAAAAAAAAATTTAAATTTAAAAGTTAACCAGGCTGGCTGGGCGTGGTGGCTCATGCCTGTAATCACCACTTTGGGAGGCTGAGACAGGCAGATCACGAGGTCAGGAGATCGAGACCATCCTGGCTAACATGGTGAAACCCTATCTCTACTAAAAATACAAAAAATTAGCTGGGTATGGTGGCGGGTGCCTGTAGTCCCAGCTACTCGGGAAGCTGAGGCAGGAGAATGGCATGAACCGGGGAGGCAGAGCTTGCAGTAAGCTGAGATCACGCCACTGCACTCCAGCCTGGGCGACAGAGCGAGACTTCGTCTCAAAAAAAAAAAAAAAAAAAAAAAAAATTAACCAGATTTGGTGGTGCATGCCTACAGTTGCAGCTACTGGGTGGGAGGCTGAAATGGGAGGACTGCTTGAGCCTGGGAGGTCAAGGCTGCAGTGTGCTGTGATCGCCTCACTGCAAGCCAGCCTGGGCAATAGAGCGAGACCCTGTCTCAAAAAAAAAAAAAAAAAAAAAAAATTCGAAAGTGCTGAAATTCCTTTCAGCTTTTTTCCTTCCTATGAATTTCTCCATACCCAAGGTAGAAGCTGAATTAGAAACCAAATCATGGCTGGCACAGTGGCTCATGTCTTTAATCCTAGCACTTTGGGAGGTGGAGGCGGGTGGATCATCTGAGGTCAGGAGTTCAAGACCAGCCTGGCCAACATAGCAGAACACTGTCTCTACTGAAAATACAAAAATTAGCTGGGTATGGTGGTGCATGCTTGTAATCCTAGCTACTTAGGAAGCTGAGGCAGGAGAATAACTTGAACCCAGGAGGCGGAGGCTGCAGTGAGCTGAGATCACACCACTGCACTCCAGCTGGGCAACAGAGTGGGACTCGGTCTCAAATTAACAAAAAACCAGAAAAACAAATCATGAGTATTGCACACAATTGTTGTCAGTTGGTGCTAATCAGCATTATTTTACATATACAGACATACTCAATTACTGAACAATTACCATGGTTTTTCCTGGTCTAATGGTACTGACCATTGGCCAAGGAATGGGATTGCTCTGTGGCCACTTGAAGTGCCTTCTATCTAGCTTATTCTCAGCTTCCAAATGTATATACCACCTTCCCAAAATGACTATTTATTTATTTATTTTTGAGAAGGAGTCTCACTGTCGCCCAGGCTAGAGTGCAGTGATGCGATCTCAGCTCCCTGCAACCTCTGCCTCCCGGGTTCACACTACACCATTCTCCTGCCTCAGCCTCCCCAGTAGCTGGGACTACAGATGCCTGCCACCACACCCGGCTAACTTTTTGTATCTTTAGTAGAGACAGGGTTTCACCGTGTTAGCCAGGATGGTCTTGATCTCCTGACCTCATGATCTGCCGGCCTCGGCCTCCCAAAGTGTTGGGACTACAGGCGTGAGCCACTGCGCCCAGCCGACGACTATTTATTTTGAGACAGAGTCTCACTCTTGTCACCCAGGCTGGAGTGCTGTGGTGTGATCACAGCTCACTGCAACCTCCACCTCCTGGGTTCAAACAATTCTCACGCCTTAGCCTCGAGAGTAGCTGGGACTACAGGCACGCGGCACCATGCCTGGCTAATTTTTTTTCCTTCTTTTTTTTGAGATGGAGTCTAGCTCTGTTGCCCAGGCTGGAGTGTGGTAGTGTGATCTCGGCTCACTGCAACCTCCACCTCCCGAGTTCAAGCGAGTCTCCCGCCTCAGCCTCCTGAGTAGCTGGGATTATAGGTGCCTGCCACCACGCCCAGCTAATTTTTGTATTTTTAGTAGAGACAGAGGTTTCACCATGTTGGCCAGGCTGGTCTCAAATGCCTGACCTCAAGTTATCCGCCCACCTCGGCCTCCCAAAGTGCTGGGATTACCGGTGTGAGCCACTGCACCCCGACTGATTTTTTTTTTTTTTTTTTTTTTTTGAGTTGGAGTCTCGCTCTGTGGCCCAGGCTGGAGTGCAGTGGGGCGATCTTGGCTCACTGCAACCTTTGCCTCCCTGGTTCAAGCGATTCTCTTGCCTCAGCTCCCTGAGTAGTTGGGATTACAGGAACGTGACACCATGCTCAGCTAATTTTTGTATTTTTAGTAGAGATGGAGTTTTGCCGTGTTGGCAAGGCTGGTCTAGAACTCCTGACCTCAGGTGATCCGCCCATCTTGGCCTCCCAAAGTGCTGGGATTATGGCTGTGAGCCACCTCACCTGGCCCCAATTTTTGTATTTTTAGTAGAGACGGTCTTGCTATGTTGCCAGGCTGGTCTCAAACTCCTGGCCTCAAGTGATTCGCCTGCCTCGGCCTCCCAAAGTGCTGGGATTATGGTGTGAGCCTCAAAATTGACTATTTAAACTGTGACTTATACATTTCAAAAACAAACCAAAATATTTCCAGCAATTCAAAGGCAGATTGTAACATGGGGGTTAAGGATGTGGGATTTCCTGGCACCCTCACATCACCTGAATGACTTTCTGCGTTTGCTTCTTAGGTTCGCCTGGCCCTAATGCATGCTGAGTACTTCATGAACAATGTTAAGATGAATGACTATGTCAAAGACAGTGAGGAATGCAAACCAGTCATCATTAATGCCCTAAAGGCCATGTATGACCTCAACATGAACGGACCCTCTAATTCTGATTTCACCAACCCACTCACCAGACCCCGCTTGCCCTATGCCATCCTCTTTGCAATTGGTGGCTGGAGTGGTGGGAGCCCCACCAATGCCATTGAGGCATATGACGCTCGGGCAGACAGATGGGTGAACGTTACTTGTGAGGAAGAGAGTCCCCGTGCCTACCATGGGGCAGCCTATTTGAAAGGCTATGTGTATATCATTGGGGGGTTTGATAGTGTAGACTATTTCAATAGTGTTAAGCGTTTTGACCCAGTCAAGAAAACTTGGCATCAGGTGGCCCCGATGCACTCCAGACGTTGCTATGTCAGTGTGACAGTCCTCAGCAATTTTATTTATGCCATGGGAGGATTTGATGGCTATGTGCGTCTAAACACTGCTGAACGTTATGAGCCAGAGACCAATCAATGGACACTCATCGCCCCCATGCACGAACAGAGGAGTGATGCAAGCGCCACAACACTCTATGGGAAGGTAAAGGACCAGGGTGGGAGGGGAAGATGTGGATACAAAGTACAATCCAAGAAATGATACTGCTCTTTTTTGGGGTGGATGGAAGACGAAGTGGCAGTATTCACTTGGAGTACTCATTCTTTCTTCAATTGACAAGGTGACTAGTTGCAACTGTCTTTTATTTTGCTTATTAAAAAGTAATGCGAGGCCGGGTGCGGTGGCTCATGCCTGTAATCCTAGCACTTTGGGAGGCTAAGGCTCCTGATCACTAGGTCAGGAGTTCGAGACTAGCCTGGCCAACATAGTGAAAGCCTGTCTCTACTAAAAATACAAAAAATTAGCCGGGCCTGGTGGCGGGCGCCTGTAGTCCCAGCTACTCGGGAGGCTGAGGGAGGAGAATCGCTTGAACCCAGGAGGCAGAGGATTGCAATGAGCCAAGATGGCACCATTGCACTCCAGCCCGGGTGACAGTGCAAGACTCCATCTCAAAAAAAGAAAAAAAAAAGTAATGCAGGCTGGGCTCGTGGCTCACGCCTGTAATCCCAGCACTTCGGAAAGTCGAGGCAGGCAGATCACAAGGTCAGGAAGTCAAGACCATCCTGGCCAACATGGTGAAACCCTGTCTCTACTAAAAATACAAAGAATTAGCTGGGCATGGTGGCAGGCGCCTGTAGTCCCAGCTATTCAGGAGGCTGAGGCAGGAGAATCACTTCAACCCGGGAGGCGGAGGCTGCAGTGGGTGGAGGTTGCAGTGCGTTGAGATTGCACCACTGCACCCCAGCCTGGATGACAGAGCAAGACTCCCTCTCATAAAAAAAAAAAAAAAAGGTAGTAATGTGGCCAGGCCTGGTGTCTCGTGTTTGTAATCTCAGCACTTTGGGAGGCCAAGGTGGGCGGATCACTTCAGGTCAGGAGTTTGAGACCAGCCTGGCCAATATGGTATTCTCCAGTAAAAATACAAAAATTAGCCAGGTGTGGTGGTGCGCACTTGTAATTCCAGCTACTCAGGAGCCAGAGTTTGCAGTGAGCCGAGATAGCTCCACTGCACTCCAGCCCAGGCGACAGAGCGAGACTCCATCTCAAAAAATAAAAATAGGCCGGCAGTATATCATGCCTGTAACCCTAGCACTTTGGGAAGTCGATGGGGGTGGATTGCCTGAACTCAGGAGTTCGGGACCAGGCTGGGCAACAAGGTGGAAACCTCGACTCTACTGAAATACAAAAAATCAGCAGGGCGTGGCAGTGTGCGCCTGTAGTCCCAGCTATTCCGGATGCTAAGGCAGGAGAATTGTTAGAACCTGAGTGGTGGAGTGAGCTGAGATTGGCGCAACTGCACTCCAGCCTGGGTGACAGAGCGAGACTCCGTCTCTAAAAATAAATAAATAAAAAGCAATGCATGCACATATGAAAAAAAGAAATTCAGATTGTACAGACTGGAATTAAGTGCCCACTACCACCACACACATATCCTTTCTTTCTACTCCCTAGAGTGGGAATTTTAATAATCTTGGAACTCTTCACACAGGTCTACATATGTGGTGGGTTTAATGGAAACGAGTGCCTGTTTACAGCGGAAGTGTACAACACTGAAAGTAATCAGTGGACAGTCATAGCACCCATGAGAAGCAGGAGGAGTGGAATAGGCGTGATTGCTTATGGAGAACATGTATATGCAGTAAGTTTACTACTACAAAAAAAAACACATTACCCCTAGAATTTGTATTAGTAAATGGGTTTATGCTACTGTTGGTATTTGAAAAGCTTTTTTTCATGGAAGACAATGGAAGAGGGAGTTATGAAATCACTGGTACCCCCAACGAGGGCTTCCTCAGTGAACAGAATCAATAGTTAGCAGTCAACCGTGTTTCTTTTGCTATCCACAGGTAGGTGGCTTTGACGGAGCTAATCGACTTAGGAGTGCAGAAGCGTACAGCCCTGTGGCTAACACTTGGCGCACAATCCCCACTATGTTTAACCCTCGAAGCAATTTTGGCATCGAGGTGGTGGACGACCTCTTGTTCGTGGTGGGTGGCTTTAACGGTTTTACCACCACCTTTAATGTTGAGTGCTATGACGAAAAGACCGATGAGTGGTATGATGCTCACGACATGAGCATATACCGCAGTGCTCTGAGCTGCTGTGTAGTACCAGGGCTGGCCAATGTTGGGGAATATGCAGCTAGACGGGACAACTTCCCAGGATTAGCACTGCGAGATGAAGTAAAATATTCTGCTTCGACAAGTACCCTACCTGTATGAGCCTCTTCATTTAGCTAATAAAAAGTCTAAGCAATAAGAATTAATTCTTTTTTTTTAAATAAATGCAGTGTTTAAACTTTGAAGAGTACTGGAAAATGTTCAACTTAAGAGAGCCAATGGTTGGATGAATGAGGGAGTAGGAGGGAGGGAAGAAGGCAATTATATCCAACAGTGCATAAAGAAGAAAAAAAAGTCACACAGTACAAACCAGCTTTAAAGAAATATATTTATTTAAAACTTACACTGAGACAATTAGTAGCTTTAACAGAGAACAAGATAGCTTCAGGAACATAAAATGAGCTATTTTACAATGTAATGTCTCAAGGTGTTCTAACTATTACATCTCCTCTGACTTAAAGGGAAATAGTGAAGATTACATTTTCAGTAGAGTAGGGACCTGGATACTACTAGCCCAAAAAACTCACTGCATCAACTCAAACTAAATGTTTATTTTACAAATAACTCAACGAGCCCAAGCACATGGATCATAAAGTCTTCAAACACCTAGCAAGCCCTACTTTTCACGAGTGCATTATGCAGGAGGATTAAGTTAGCAAGTGCTCTGCAGTCTGTGCTTCAATGTAAGACATTCGTAGTGATGGTCACTGAGTAAGACAAAAAGCCCTACAAATGTAATAAACAGCAGTGATTTTGCTATCTAATTAAATTCCTTGAAGCAAAATGACTACTAGGTTATATTACTGTTATTATATTACATCACTCAACTATGAGCTGTTCTGTTTTCAATGACCGAACATACGTTATAATAACAAAAACAAAAAAGGACTATTCTCAAGAAAGTAACAAACTGGAGTGATGAACTGTGCCAAAATGTTTGAGAGTTCAGGAGAGACTGAATTGTTTCTCAAATATTTTATAGTTAAAGCACCCTCTGGTGTAGACAGAGTACTTGGTTTACAGTAATGTAAACTTTCAAAGACATGAAATGTGGCCAGTATACTATATTTAAACTTAATTTGAGAAAAGTACCAAAAAAGAAGTCCCTTTAGTAATGCTTGATTAGACCAAATAACTAAAACATACCATTTAGCTCACCTGTCTACATACAGTATAGTATTGATATTAGAATTACAAAGCAGAAAATGAAGTATTTTAAACATACCACATGCTACACTAGTCAAGAGGTAAGGAGGAAAAGTTAGCCCTAGAAACTGCCTTACCAGCAGCCTGACGGGTTTAAAAAAACAAAAACACACAAATCTTCCATAAACACTATCTTTCCAGCTTCAAACTTCTGTTCTATATTAAAAAGGTATATTTAAATTTTTTGGTCCCAGAAATACTATATAAAACCAGGTGATCAAAACAAAACTTATGTCATGAATTTTAAGAGTTTTTAGCAAAAAAGTTATTTTTGAACTGGCACAGCAAACGCAAAGTTGAATATCACGATACACAAGACTAATCATGCAAACAACTGTAAGTGGGATGTGTTACTTAAACACTAAGCTCATGACTGACATTCTCAATATATACCACTGATTTTTTTTTTAAGCCATGGTGCGGTAGATATAGTTCAAGGATACCCATTCTAAGATGTAAGTAGCCTCACTCAAAGTTATGTAACTATTACTTTTTGGTATAATGACTTCCTCTCTCTTCTACAAACAAAAGGAAAGCAACAAAACAAAGGTTTGCTTGAATACGCATTAAGCTGTCTTGCTAAAGTCATATTTTTAACTGCTTACATTACCAAAAAGAATCTTTTAAGTTTTCTCATCAACAAGGAAACTTCTTTCCCAAGAAGCTATTTTAGGCCTAATCCTTGTAATTAGAACCTTTCCAAATACTCTGGGAAGTTATTTCCAGTTAAGAATTTCAGAATGTCAGCCTTGAACAGATTTAAGCAAATCTGGTTTCTTTCCTTATTAACAAGTTAGTTAGGATATTTCAGAAACACAAGTTATTGATGTGAAATTACACATGTGAATTCAAATATAAAAATTAGAAATTCAGGAAAACCTGCACACATCATCATGCAATGAAGGACTTACCCCTTCTTTTCAGCCGTGGCCTAGGCTGCCTGCTAAGTTAAAAAACAACAGTTTCAATCAAGGTTTTAAAACCAGATTATGCCTAAATCTTATGAGTTATAATTTCTGTCACATCATGTGAAAAAAAAACACAACCCCACAAATGACTTGGTAATGATTATCTCAGAAGACAGCTCTGAGAACAAAAAAAAAACACATCACATCCTTCCAGTGAAAAACTGTTATTGTAGTGAGATACTAAATTATTTAAACACAATCAACAAAAGGAAGTTTGTTAGCATAGTCTATTGGAGAGAAATGAGAACTCCATTTAATAAGCTTCATTTAATGATTCTGTCTTACATGCATAGACCTCTCACAACTAAGAATTAGTGCTTCTCAGAATCCAAATGGCTTTTATTTTTTTTTTTTATTATTTTTTTTTTTTTTGAGACGGAGTCTTGCTCTGTCGCCCAGGCTGGAGTGCAGTGGCCGGATCTCAGCTCACTGCAAGCTCCGCCTCCTGGGTTCACGCCATTCTCCTGCCTCAGCCTCCCGAGTAGCTGGGATTACAGGTGCCCGCCAACTCACCCAGCTAGTTTTTTGTATTTTTAGTAGAGACGGGGTTTTGCCGTATTAGCCAGGATGGTCTCGATCACCTGACCTCGTGATCCACCCGTCTCGGCCTCCCAAAGTGCTGGGATTACAGGCTTGAGCCACCGCGCCCGGCCCCAAATGGCTTTTATTAAAATAACTACCAAGAAATGGAAATTGAGAAAAAGGTAGTAGTGGGGTAAAATAATATATCCTTATATGTAGAAATAGACTTGCAGTTTCTCACGCCCACTCTAGTCTAAATTAAATGGATTTAAAGTTGATTTTCAACACATTTATTAAAAACTTTTCACCTAGGCAGGGACACTAATTTAAAAATTTCAAGTTCTTAGTATAGAGCCCAAGACCTAAAACTATTAGTCTTACAGCAAATAGCCAAAATTTCTGGTTGTGCTTTTCTCTTTTGGTATTTGATCACTAACAAGAAGATTAACTATAATGGACTAGGGGGAAAAAAAAAATCACTGCACTTGGAATTTGATTTCCAGAATGGTATTCCAAAATGTCTAAGAAGGTAAAGACAATCCTTAAGAAACAGGATAAATCATTGGGCAGGTGGCTCTTTGGGAGGCCAAGGTGGGAGGGTTGCTTGAGGAAAGGAGCTTGAGACCAGCCTGGCCAATAAGGTGAGACCTCATATCTTAAAAAAAACAAAACAAAACCACAACAAAAACAGGAAAACCACATTGTAAGCTGTTAGGAATCCTTTATACTAACCGAGCATTAAAGTCAATTTGAGGGCCAGGCATGGTGGCTCACGCCTGTAATCCCAGCGCTTTGGGAGGCTGAGGTGGGAGGATCACGAGGTCAGGAGTTCGAAACCAGCCTAACTAACATGGTGCGACCCCATCTCTATTAAAAATACAAAAATTAGCCGGGCGTGGTGGCACGCGCCTGCATTCCCAGCTACTCAGGAGGCTGAGGCAGGAGAATCGCATGAGCCCGGGAGGTGGAGGTTGCAGTGAGCTGAGATTGCGCCACCCCAGCCTGAGTGACAAAGCGAGACTCTGTTTCAAAAAAAAGAAAAAAAAAAGTTAATTTGAGGCCAGGCGTGGTGGATCACACCTGTAATCCCAGCACCTTGGGAGGCTGACACGGGTGGATCTCCTGAGCCCAGGAGTTGGAGACCAGCCTCTGCAACATAGCGAAACCCTGTCTCTACCAAAAATACAAAAAAAAATTAGCTGGGCATGGTGGCGCATGCCTGTAGTCCCAGCTACTCAGTAGGCTGAGATGGGAGGATGGCTTGCGTCCAGGAGGTGGAGGTTGTAGTGAGCCAAGATTGTACCACTGCAGTCCAACCTGGGAGGACAAAGTGAGACCCCATCCCCCCACCCCCCCCAAAAAAAGAGTCAACTTGAGTGCTAACTTTTATAAAGCTCAGGAGACATAAGATAATTAGAACAATGTATAAAACTAAATAAAAGATAGCTTCAGTGATCTTTTTAATTTTTATTTCAGACACTGTGTTTCTGTCACCCAGGGTAGTGGGGCATGATCACGGCTCACTTCACCCTCAACCTCCCCAGGCTCTGCTGATCCTCCCACCTTGGCCTCAGGTAGGAAGGACTACAGGCACGTGCCAGCTACCACACTCAGCTAATTTTTGTACTTTTTGTAGAGACAGGGTCTTGCTATGTTTCCCAGGCTGGTCTTGAACTCTTGGGCTCAAAATCTGCCCACCTCAGCCTCCCACAAAGTGCTGGGATTACAGTCAGGAGCCACCGTGCCCAGCCCATAAACCTTTAAAAGCCAAAATTACGTACCCAGATTTGGTATCCTAGGCTCAGGCAAAGTTTAAAAGTGTAGGGCAACTGGATAAAACATAACAATCAGAAATAATAAGGCTTCTCTTTAGCAACATTTCTCTAAATTATGACTTCCCATTTTGGGAAAAAAAAAAGTTTCTTGTACAAAGGAATAATGGGTTGGGCGCGGTGGCTCACGCCTGTAATCCCAGCACTTTGGGAGGCTGAGGTGGGTGGATCACCTGAGGTCAGGAGTTCAAGACCAGCCTGACCAACATGGTGAAACCCCGTCTCTACTAAAAGTACAAAAATTAGCCGGGCATGGTGGTGGGTACTTGTAATCCCAGCTACCCGGGATGCTGAGGCAAGAGAATCACTGGAACCCGGCAGGCAGAGGTTGCAGTGAGCCAAGATTGCACCACTGCACTCCAGCCTGGGCAACAAGAGCAAGCCTCTGTCTCAAAAAAAAAAAAAAAACAAAAAAAACCACAAAGGAATAATGATTCTATATAATATACATTAGAGCAAAAATTAAAATGGAAGGCATTGAGTGTCGATTGTCATAGGCATTATTTATACTCATTAACATATCCTCAAGTAATCCTGCAACTCCTGAAAAAAATGTTTAAAATTTTAAATGCCTTTAATTTCTCAGTCTACACTAATACTTTTCTTCTTAGAGAAAACAAAATTCACACATGTAACTTGCTCTGTATTTAGTCAATTAGCTAAAGATCTATACTTTTGCCAACTACCCTCAGCTCAGATTGAAGGCTTAGTCTATAAACAGTTGCTAATGAAAAATATTCAAAAAATGCATGAGCCAATCAAAAATTACTCATCAGTCACATCTTCTAGGAATGAAAGTGGCACTTCTAGATAAACATAAGAAAATATCAATGCAAACATTCTCAAATTATCTTGCTGAAATATTGAGTGTTTTCATCCAAATTTCAGTCTCACTATTGCACATGCCTCCTGCAGATGAGGGCTCAATGCAGAAGTCAGATCTTGCCAAAACCAATCATTTCATAAAAAAATCAAAAAGAATATCAAAGTAAATGTGCAAATAAAATTGGTGCTTAAAGCATGTTCAAAACATAAGTCCCCAAGACAAAGGAGTTATAACTCAATTGGCAGGAAAACAGCTAAGCAACTACACCTGATTTTCCCACTTGTCCTTAGTAAGATCTTACTTAGCTAGCACAAACAAACAAACCAAAGACAAAAATTGCAAGCTAACAAAATGACCATGTATTGAACTGAGTTTCCCATTCTTTAGTTTTTAACTCTATTTCCTTTATATGGGGTAATAATCAGTTCACGTAGAAAATAAGTTATCGACATACTTTTTCAAGTAACAGCCTGGATATCTTCAGCTTCACGAAACGGGTATAACAGTTTTAATTGGCACGCTTGAGAGAACCTAGCATTCTATCTGAGAGCTTGGCACTCGCCGCATGTTCAGGGCGTGACGATGTATCTCTTGCATCTGTCTGATGCGGTCCTTCTGCCACATCAGGTTTTGAGGCATAGGATATCTCTGTGTGCCATGCAAGTACCGGTATGGGATCCTCACGTGACAAGCAGTGGCTCTACAACGAGGTTGTGGCATAGGAGGAAGAAGCATCCACCTCTTCCTCTCAGCACAGTATCGGTAGGCTTCTTTCCGATACTGTTTATCAATATCATCGCTGTTTTTCCAGCCTCCTATAATGAAGACATCATCTTTGTAATAGCAAATGGCTGCTCCTTCAATGCTTAGGACTTCTGGAGGCAAGCTTTCAAGGATCTCATCAGACACTTGGCTGGCAATTTTTCTTACTGCTTCTTCGTTTTCTAAACAATAACTCTTGGGGCAACATGATGCTGTCTGATAAAAGTTTGAATTGACCACAGACATTTGGAAAAAGCAGTAATTGTCAATAAGGGGCAAAGATTCCACATCTTGCCACTGTCGAGTCTCTGTATCATAGCAAGTAATTACAGCCTTTAATCCATCTTCAGTGTCCCGGTCTACAGGAGTGCGGGCGGCAATGTATACAAACCGGTCTTCAATGGCTAGTGCTTTGACATCTCGAAGAATCTTTGGTGCCGATTCCAAGTTGTGCCATTTATCAAGCTCAGGATTATAAACAGTCACATCTTTAAAACCAGGACTAAAGTTGCCATGTCCTCCAATGCTATAGAGTTTCCCTTTGACTTCTGTTAGTCCAAAAGAATGCTTTCTTGTCATCAGACTACAAACATGTTCCCAAGTATTCAAATTTGGGTTATACCTTTCAACAGTTTTAGCAAACCCTGGCTCCATTGATCCAGCAACATACACGTAGGATTCTGTTACTGCAACAGCATGTCCATCGAGGTGATTATGAATATGTGGCAGGTTTACCCATCTGTCCTCATCAACAAAATATCCCACACATTCACTTAAATAGTCCCCTCCTTCTGACACACCTCCAATAACCATGATCACATCCATGTTTTGCCCATAACGAGGCAATAGTGAGACATGAGAAGTGGGGTGCTGGCATGTGCCCGATTGTATATTCTCAGCTCTCAGAGCATGTCTCTCCACTGCGTCAGCCACCAACTTGACACAAACTTCATTATTGGCTACCAGCCTCTCTGGTTTGACATGTCGAGTAAGGTAGGTAGGTTTCATCTGGGACAACCTGAGCAATTTAAAAAGTTCTTCAAAGTATCTCTCTCTCTCTTCAGCATTTCTCTGAACCCATTTCAAAACGGTTTCAAAGAGAACCTCTTCAGAATCAACTGTAATTTCCAAATCTGAAAGCCAGTCTCTAATGAGATGGAAAGGTAACGTATAAAATTCTTCATCCTGAATCACTTTGTGGAAATTTCTCCGTATCATATCAGCAGCCTTCAGAGCAAGTTGGCTCAGGGTGTACATGTGGGCTAAGCTATGAATTGCCACACAATTTGAGAGATGAAGTTTTTTCTTGAGAAATTCTCCACAAAATTCTTTTAAACGAATGAGTAGGAACCTAAAATCAAGAAAAAGAGAAAAGATTAATTTTTCAAATGTGCGTATTTTATGTGGTTACTTTTTTGTTTTTTCAGACAGGGTCTCACTCTGCCACCCAGGCTGGAGTGCAGTGGTGTGATCTCGGCTCACTGCAACCTTTACCTCCTGGGTTCCAGCAATTCTCCTGCCTCAGCTTCCTGAGTTGCTGGGGTGTGCCACCACGTCCAGCTAATTTTTGTATTTTTAGTAGAGACAGGGTTTCACCATATTGGCCATGCTGGTCTTGAACTCCTGACCTCAAAGTGGTTTGCCTGCCTCGGCCGCCCAAAGTGCTGGGATTACAGGTGTGAGCCACTGTGCCTGGCCATGGCCTACATTAAAAAATATATATTTTTTATATATATATATTATTTTTTTGTAGAGATGGGGTCTCCCTATATTGTCTACACTGGTCTTGAACTCCTTGCTTTAAGCAATCCTCCTGCCTCTGCTTCCCAAAGTGTTTGGGATTACAGGTGTGAGCCACCACACCCAGTGTATGGTCACATTTTGAGAGCATCTAAATTATACATATTGAAATAGTTAATCTCACTTTATACACAAAATCTGAAAAAAAAAAAAAAAGAAAACCCACCACCAAATTAGAAAATATTGTGCTGGAAAAGTATGTTTAAAAGCACACACTTTGGGAGGCCGAGACGGGCGGATCACAAGGTCAGGAGATCAAGACCATCCTGGCTAACACGGTGAAACCCCATCTCTACTAAAAAATACAAAAAACCAGCCGGGCGAGGTGGCAGGCGTCTGTAGTCCCAGCTACTTGGGAGGCTGAGGCAGGAGAATGGTGTGAACCCCGGGATGCGGAGCTTGCAGTGAGCTGAGATCTGGCCACTGCACTCCAGCCTGGGCGACAGAGCGAGACTCCATCTCAAAAAAAAAAAAAAAAAAAAAAAAAGCACATATAGGCTAGGCGCAGGGGCTCACACCTATAATCCCAGCACTTTGGGAAGTTGAGGATCGCTTGAATCAGGAGTTCAAGACTAGCCTGGGAAACATGGCAAAACCAAGTCTCTTAAAAAAAGGCACATGGCCGGGCGCAGTGGCTCACACCTGTAATCCCAGGACTTTGGGAGGCTGAGGCAGGCAGATCACTTGAGGTCAGGAGTTTGAGACCAGGCTGGCCAACAACAGGGTGAAACCCTGTCTCTAATAAAAATACAAAAATTAGCTGGGCATGGTGGGGAGCACCTGTAATCCCAGCTACTTGGGAGGCTGAGGCAGGAGAATCACTTGAATCTGGGAGGCAGAGGTTGTAGGGGGCTGAGATTGCGCCACTGCACTCCAGGTTGGGTGACAGAGCAAGACTCCGTCTCAAAAAAAAAAAAACAACAAAACAAACAAACAAAAAAAAACAACAAAAAAAGCACATATAGAGCTGGGCATGGAGATGCATGCCTGTAGTCTCAGCTACTCAGGAGGCTTAGGCAAGAGGATTGGCTGAGGTCAGCAGTTCAAGGCTGCAGTAAGCTATAATCGTGCCTGTGAATAGCCACTGCACTCCAGCCTGGGCAACACAGGAAGACTGTCTCTTAAAAAAAAGCATATATAGGCCGAGTGCAGTGGTTCACACCTGTAATCTCAGCACTCTGGGAGGCCAAGGCAGGCGGATCATGAGGTCAGGAGTTCGAAACCAGCCTGGCCAACAGGGTGAAACCTCGTCTCTACTAAAAATACAAAAAAAATAGCTAGGCGTGGTGGCAGGCAACTGTAATCCCAGCAACTCCAGAGGCTGAGGCAGGAGAATAGCTTGAACTCGGGAGGCAGCAGTTGCAGTGAGCTGAGATAGCGCCACTGTACTCCAGCCTAGGCAACACAGCGAGATTCTGTCTCAAGAAAAAAAAATAAATAAAAGCATATATAAAAATCTTATTTATGTATAAAATATAAAGTATTATTTATATTATATAGTTTATATAATTACATATCATATATGTGAAACACATACATATACATACACATAGACATATATAAAAACACAAAATAGAGTTTTTATTTTAAGAGACAGGGTTTCACTATGCTGCAGTGGCTATTCACAGGTGTGATCACAGTGCGCTACAGTCCCAAACTCCTGGGCTCAAGCAATCCTTCTGCCTCAGCTTCCAGAGTAGCAGGGACTACAGGCACATGCCACTGTGTCTGGCTGGAGGTTTTTTTTTTTTTTTTTTTTTGAGACAGAGTTTCGCTCTTGTTGCCCAAGCTGGAGTGCAATGGCATGATCTTGGCTCACTGCAACCTCTGCCTCCTGGGTTCAAGCGGTACTCCTGCCTCAATCTCCCGAGTAGCTAGGATTACAGGCGCATGCCACCATGTTTGGCTAACTTCTTGTATTTTCAGTAGAAATGGGGTTTCACCATGTTTGCCAGGCTGGTCTCAAACTCCTTACCTCAGGTGATCCACCTGCCTCGCCCTCCCAAAGTGCTGGGGTTACAGGCCTGAGCCACCACGCCCAGCCACACACTTTATTTTCACTTTAATTTGTCCTTGGCAAAGGCAAATCCCTATCCAAATTTGTCTTTGCCATCCTTCCCTAATTCCTTGCTAGTCACCAGCCTCTCTCTCTCTTTTTTTTTTTTGAGACAGATCAGATTCTCACCGTTACCCAGGCTGGAGTGCAGTGGTGCAATCATGGCTCACTGCAGCCTCGACCTCCTGGGCTCAAGTGATTCTCCCACCTTAACTTCCCAAGTTGCTGGTACTACAGGAACACGCCACCATGCTCAGATATATATATATATATATTTTTCCCCCCGAGATGGAGTTTCGCTCTTACTGCCCAGGCTGAAGTGCAATGGTGCAATCTTGGCTCACTGCAACCTCTGCCTCCTGGGTTCAAGCGATTCTCCTGCCTCAGTCTCCCTAGTAGCTAGGATTACAGGCACCTGCCACCATGCCCAGCTAATTTTTTGTATTTTTAAAGACAGGGTTTCATCATGTTGACCAGGCTGGTCTCGAACTCTTGACCTCAGGTGATACACCCATCTGGGCCTCCAAAGTGCTGGGATTACAGGCGTGAGTCACCACGCCTGGCCACCCAGATAATTTTTTTTGGTGTATTTTTTTTGTAGAGACAAGGTTTTGCCATGTTAGCCAGACTGGTCTCAAACTCCTGAGCTCAAGCAATCTGCCTACTTTAGTGCTGAGATTACAGGTGTGAGCCACCAGGCCCAGCCCATCAGCCTCTTCTTAAATGAAACAGGGTCTCAGTGAAGGGACTTTATGGTATAAAGAAACAGCCAGGCAGGAACTTCTCAGGGGGTCTGTTCGGTCAGATATCAGACGGAAGGCCCTCCCATCCCTTACTCAGATCTAGGCTTTCTGCTAGAGGTTTTATTTTATTTTAAAATTTTTCTCCAGGATCATAGATTCAAGTTGCCCTGAATATATACTCCCTGTGTCGGAGACAGTTTTTTTTTTTTTTTTTTTTTTTTGAGACGGAGTCTTGAGTCTTGCTCTGTCACCCAGGCTGGAGTGCAGTGGCCGGATCTCAGCTCACTGCAAGCTCCGCCTCCCGGGTTCACGCCATTCTCCTGCCTCAGCCTCCCGAGTAGCTGGGACTACAGGCGCCCGCCACCTCACCCGGCTAGTTTTTTTTTTGTATTTTTAGTAGAGACAGGGTTTCACCGTGTTAGCCAGGATGGTCTCGATCTCCTGACCTCGTGATCCGCCCGTCTCGGCCTCCCAAAGTGCTGGGATTACAGGCTTGAGCCACCGCGCCCGGCCCGGAGACAGTTTTTAATCTCATCACCAGAGCTTTTTCTTTGGGTAGCCAGAGGGAATGGGGTACTGAGATTTGTCCTGAACTGGGTTCTCATCAAAGCAGGGATACAAAGCAAACTCAAACACCTGAAGAAGCTGAAAACAAAACAAAAACACAACAAAAAAACATGTGTAGGGTTGGGCGCAGTGGTTCAGGCCGGGTGCAGTGGCTCAGGCCTGTAATCCCAACACTTTGGGGGACGGAGGCAGGAGGATCATTTGAGGTCAGGAGTTTGAGACCAGCCTGGCTAACATGGTGAAACCTTGTCTCTACTAAAACTACAAAAAGTAGGCCAGGCGTGGTGGCTCACGCCTGTAATCCCAGCACTTTGGGAGGCTGAGGTGGGTGGATCACCTGGGGTCAGGAGTTCGAGACCAGCCTGGCCAACATGATGAAATCCCGTCTCTACTAAAAATACAAAAAATTAGCTGGGCGTGGCAGCAGGTGCCTATAATCCTGGCTACTAGGGAGGCTGAGGCAGGAGAATCGCTTGAATTCAGGAGGTGGAGATTGCAGTAAGCTGAGCTCACGCCACTGCACTCCAGCGACAGAATGAGACGCTATCTCAAAACAAAAAACAAACAAAAATCAGCTGGACATGGTGGTGTGCATCTGTTATCCCAGCTACTCAGGAGCCTGAGGCACGAGAATTGCCTGAACCTGGGGGCAGAGGGTGTAGTGAGCTGAGATCATGCCACACTGCACTCCATCCTGGGTGACACAGTAAGACTCGGCTCCAAACAAAACAAAATGTGTAGGTTAAAAAACAAAGGAAAGTGATTTGGATGTAGTTGACTAAATATTGTCTGCTTACCTAAATCCATTTAAAGTTTAATTAAAAAAAAAAAAAAAAGCAATCGTTTCAGACAGATTCATAAATCTGGCAGCAATCAGTCTGAGGATAGCCTATTTGAGACCACTGCTCTAAACAGACTAAGTCCCCAGAACGGAGAAGAACCTTAAACAAGAATCACTTCATTGGTTCAGGCCTCTCCCAATTCAGTAACCATTTATTATTAGTGACTGTGCTTAGTAACTGTCTTAACTATGATATGAAAATGAATAAGGCAGGCTCCCTCTACCCTTTTAAGAGAACATATCATTTTAGGGATAAAGCAAAGACAAAGTAGAGTGGTAAGGGATATAGTGGCTCCCAGACATGTCTGGGTGCCAGTGTCACCTGATTCCCAGGCTGCCCTGGGCTCCTAGTTTTAGCAGGCACTCCAGGTAATTCGGAGACAAATTCCTGTAGGTGTCTCGAAAAAATGCTCTATGCAAATAGCTGTTGGCCGGGCGCGGTGGCTCAAGCCTGTAATCCCAGCACTTTGGGAGGCGGGTGGATCACGAGGTCAGGAGATCGGGACCATCCTGGCTAACATGGTGAAACCCTGTCTCTACTAAAAATACAAAAAACTAGCCGGGCGTGGTGGCGGGCGCCTGTAGTCCCAGCTACTTGGGAGGCTGAGGCGGGAGAATGGCATGAACCCGGGAGGCAGAGTTTGCAGTGAGCCGAGATCACGCCACTGCACTCCAGCCTGGGAGACACAGCGAGACTCCGTCTCAAAAAAAAAAAAAAAGAAAATAGCTGTCATACACTAGGCATCTGTCATGTGAGGGGCATCGTGCACATCCTATTATTATGTTTCTGATCCTCATAAGTGTCCAGTGAGGCAGGCATGATCACCAACAGACATATGTATTTAGGGGTTGGTGGGCGGGGGAGGGTCCTGCCTCAGAGTTGATGGGAAGATTAAATGTGATGGTTGCAGAGCACTTTGAACAGTGCCTGACAAAAGTTATTGGCTTAGCTGCTGATAGATGGAGAGAAGTTAAAGAGTTTTTAGTAAAAATGCCTGGAGTATCCTCTCCTCTCCTCTAACTCCCTAATAGAGCAGGGGCAAATCTGACAAACTCAAGATGATATGACAGAATCAAACATAGCTTTGAGTAAGTGCAATGACCCTTTTCTACCCATTTTCATGCAACAAACCTCTCTCCCTCAGAGCTATGCCCATCCCACTCCACCTTCTCATTGATGACCCAGCCTCTTGAGAAAACAGACAATCAAGCAGGAACTTCATCTTCCCACCACCCAATCCACCAGCAGTTGCACCCTAAACTTTGCAGTCCAACCGTTCCAATTTTAATATGGATTCTACACTGAAGAATAACCAGAATATTTCACCCCAAAATATACTTATTTGACATATTCCGAGGGGCCGAAACCACAGGAATAGCTTTGAAGAGCTGTCTTTTGTGGGGGAGATTTGCATCTGCAGAGAAAATCTACATTGATGAGGTAAACAGCAAGGAAAACAGGGATGCAAATAGGCTTTCTCCGAGGCCCTCCCTCACTCAGATCAAGGAAAGATGCACTCAGGAAAAACTAAGGAGGCGAAAGACTGACACTTTAAAAGATCTGACAGAAACTTTTCCCACAGGCTACATCCATTTTTTCTGACAGCTGCTGCCTGTGAGGTTTCACCAGCATAACAGGACAGCCTGTGCTTGCCAAGCTTTCCTCTTCTGGCTCTCCCATAACCTGTCTTGATGCATTCCAAACCCCTATTCTTTCTATAACCACAGAATAGTATAAAAACTTCAGTCACCCTTAGAGTTTTCATATTTTGTATGACTCTCGAGCACAAATGTGCCTGTAATAATCTGCTATGGTTTTCTCTGCCCTATATAACCTGTCTTTTATTATAAGAATGCCAGCTGTGGCCGGGCGCGGTGGCTCATGCCTGTAATCCCAACACTTTGGGATGCCAAGGCGAGCAGATCACGAGGTCAGGAGTTTGAGACCAGCCTGGCCAACACAGTGAAACCCTATCTCTACTGAAAATACAAAATTAGCCAGGCGTGGTGGCAGATGCCTGTAATCCCAGCTACCTGAGAGGCTGAGGCAGGAGAATCGCTTGAACCCAGGAGGCAGAGGTTGCAGTGAGCCGAGATTGCACCATTGCACTACAGCCTGGGAAACAAAGAGACTCTGTCTCAAAAAAAAAAAAAAAAAAAAAAAAAAAAAAAAAAAAAAAGAATGTCAGCTGCGACCCCTTTATGAAGGGGAGGAAAGGGATCACCCCTCTTCCACCCCTACAGTTCCCTTCTTGGTTGCAAGGACTCTACTCCTGCAATTATTTTCCCCTGCTCCTGTAACACCAATTACTCATCTTCTACTGAATTATTTTCAGCAGCACACAGACATGCTCTAGTATCTCTTACCTTGGTGGGATTGTCCCCCAAAACGTTTACATATGTGTACCATTTTTCTGATCCTCTTTATAAAGCAAGGCTAAACTAGCTCTTGTCAATGGCATCTCTGACCTGCAACCATCACTTATGGGTTGACAGAGTTGACATGATTGGCTGCTCTCTCCTTGATATTCTTCCTTTCTATGTTTCCATGAGATCAATCTCCTCTTTAAGATTCTTTTTTTTTTTTTTTTTTTGAGACCAAGTCTCACTCTGTCGCCCAGGCTGGGGTGCAGTGGGGCAATCTCAGCTCACTGCAACCTCCACCTCCCGGGTCAAAGCAATTCTCCTGCCTCAGCCTCCCGAGTAGTTGGGATTAGAGGCACCTGCCACCACACCCTGTTAATTTTTGTATTTTTTTGAGACGGAGTCTCGCTCTGTCGCCCAGGCTGGAGTGCAGTGGCATGATCTCGGCTCACTGCAATCTCCACCTCCTGGGTTCCCACCATTCTCCTGCCTCAGCCTCCTGAGTAGCTGGGACTATAGACGCCTGCCACCACGCCTGGCTAATTTTTCTTTTTTTTTTTTTAGTAGAGTCGGGGTTTCACCATGTTAGCCAGGATGGTCTCGATCTTCTGACCTCGTGATCCGCCTGCCTCAGCTTCCCAAAGTGCTGGGATTACAGGCGTTAAGTCACCACGCCCGGTCTAACTTTTGTATTTTTAGTAGAGATGGGGTTTCATCATGTTGGCCAGGCTGGTCTCGAACTCCTGACCTCAAGTGATCCATTTGCCTTGGCCTACCAAAGTGCTGGGATTACAGGCGTGAGCCACCTCGCCCAGCCGGCTATTTTACATTCTAGAGAACCTCAGGGCCCTGTCTTGCCTACCCTCTCCCCACTACCCCTTTTCTATGTATACTCCCTAAGTAATACCATCCAGTCCCAAGGCTTTAGCTACCATTTATATGCTAATTTTCCCCAATCTGTATCTCTAGCTCCCAGGGGCTTCCCAGCAATCTCCTTAACCAAATCCAAAAACTCCTGCTCTTACTCCCAAACCTGCTCTTCTGCAATCTTCCACATCTTTATAATTCCATCCTTCCCATTGCTTGGGTCAAAAAGGTAGCAGTCTTTTCCCTTATACCCCACATCAAATGCATCAGCAAATTCATCTCATCTACCTTCAAAATGTATCTGGAACCAGAGCACTTCTCATCACCTTTACTTCTCCCTCCTAATCGAAGCCTCCACCACCACTGCCACAACCTCCTACTCTAGTCTCTCTGCATCTGCCCTTGGTGCCCCCTCCTCCCCAATGCCACATCCTTTGTTCTTTTTTTTGAGACAGTCTCGCTGTCAGCCAGGCTGAAGTGCAGTGGCGCAATCTCGGCTTACTGCAACCTCAGCCTCCCGCCTTCCCAGTCTCAAGCGATTCTTGTGCCTCAGCCTCCCCAACAGCTGGGATTACAGGCACGCCACCATGCCTGGATAATTTTTGTATGTTTAGTAGAGACGGGGGTTTCACCATGTTGGCCAGGCTGGTCTCGAACTCCTTACCTCAAGCATCCACCCACCTCAGCCTCTCAAAGTGATGAGATTATAGGCATGGGCCACCGGGCCTGGCTGCCACATCCTTTTTTCAACACAGCACTATTCATCAAGTCAGACTGCATCATTCCTCCACCCCAAACCTTCCCATTTCTATCAGAGTAAAAGCTCATGTCCTTCCACAGACCATCAAGGCCCTATGGGATCTGGATCCATGCCCATTACCATCCTGAGGCTTCTCCTGTTCCTCTCACCCTGCATCCCTTTGATACAGCCACACTGGCTCCCCGCTGTTCTCTAACATACAGACAAGCTCCACCTCAGAGCCTCTGTACCTGTGTCCCCTACCTGACACAGTCTACCTTATCTCCTTTGGTTCTTAGCAAAACATCTTCTTCATAGGACATTCTCTATCCACGCAATTTGACAAACACTTCCTCTCCCCCAGCACTTTCTATGTACTCCCCCCATGCTTTATTTTTCATCAGTGATAACAATCATCCAACAGGCTACATATACTTAACAATCATCCAACAGGCTATACATTTTACTTATTTACCGTCTATCTACCAGCGTAAGTGCGATAAGGAAAAGGACTTTTGTCTGTTTTGATCACTGCTGAAACCCTAGCACCTTAGAATCCCGCATCTGAGCTGATGCGTAATCGGCGCTCAACAGGCATTTTTGTTAAGGAATCTGTAAAATGATAATTGCCAAAACAAATGCCTCTCCATCTCTATAAACGGTATTACCTGCCTGCTAACCAGTCTCTGGAGCATTCCTGCTCCCTACAATCCGTTTACCACAGTGGCAGAATAATATTAAAATATTTAAATCAGATCATTTATTTACTCAGTTTCCTATCACACTCAGTGAAATTCGAGCTCCTTATTCAAACGCATCTCACGCATCCTTCTTCCCTTCATCCACTAGATCCAGCGTCACTAGACTGTATTTTAATTCTCTAAGCCAAACTGGATCCTGCCTGAGGGCCTTTGCGCTGTCTGGAATATTCATTCCCCATCTTTGCACGGTCAGTTATTTTTTGACATTCAGAGGTCGGTCTAAACGTCACCTCCTCAGAAAGGTCTTTATTCAATCCCTAGCCTTTCACTCCTTTTGAACGTCAGCACAACGCTTACCACATACTGACTTTCCTTTCCATCACTTTTGTCCCACTACCTAGAATCTGAGCTCCTTGGGCGCGAGGCGCGACCTGACGGTGCATCCTCCTCGCCCACCGCGGTTGGCTGCCCCCCAGCACGCGCTCAGCGAGTGTGAACCCAATGCGTTCACTCAGGACTCGCGAGCTGCCGTGGCAGGCACTGCCCTCCCCTCCGCCGGCGAGCATCTCCCCCTCTCCGCGCCCGCCGCCCTCCGTACTCCCGCCCCCCTCGCCTACCTGTCGGCCAACTCCAGCACCTCGTGCACGCTGCCCGTGCTGACGCGGATGCGCCCGGTGTACATGTACTCGATAACGGCTTCCACAGTGTCGGGTTCGGGCCCCGGCTCGGAGCTCCACTTGCGCATCTCCACCCGTCCCGAGCGGGACTCGGAAAACTGGCCCGAGAGCAGGGGCGTGAAGTACTCGGTGGCGGCAGCCAGTACCGAGCGGTGGGCCCGGAACTCGCGGCCTCCAGCCCCGCCAAAGCACAGGGTAATGTCGCAGAAGAGGCCCTGGCGTCGCTGCTCGTTCTGCCGCCAGGACAGCTCTGAACAGTGAGAGCTGCACTCGAAATCCTCGGCTTCTGGGCCCGGATCGCCCCCGCTCGCCTCCATTGCAGAGATCCCTGGCCCAGGCCCGAAGTCCACCGTGCCGCTGCCTCGGACCTCGGCGGCCAGGCCTGCCGAGCCGGCAGCGGCCGTCTCCATGCTCTCCATCTCCAGCACCTGAAGAGATGCAGCCGCGGCCGCCGCCGCAGCCGCCGCCACTGCCGCAGCCGCCATCTTGACGCCGCCGCGCCCGGCCTCCGCAGCCTCGGAACTATGCGGCCGTTTGGTGCGACACAGAGGGATTCTGGGATTAAATAGTGCGCGCGGGGCGGAGCCGGGTAGCCCGCGGGCCGCGCATGCGCCGCCTTGCCTCCGGCAGCCCTGCCTGCCCTGGTAAGGTTCGGCTGTAACTGTCGCCCTGTCGGGATGACTTCGCCGCAGGCCTCCCCACGAGGACGTCGGTGCGAGGGTGGCTGGCTCCCTTTCCTTAGTGGGTAGCATGCTCTCTGCAGTCATTTTGTCGAGTAAAAGCCACCTAGACCATCACCTGTTGTTAAAGCCTTGAGTGGCAATACAGGATTTTTATAAGATCTAGCCTCAGCTAGGTGAATGAGAGATGAATGAGTTACTTGTTATCCGTTTTTTTTGTTTTTTGTTTTGTTTTGTTTGTTTGTTTTTGAGACGGAGTCTCTCTCTGTCGCCCAGGATGGAGTGCAGTGGCGTGCTGCCCGGATTCAAGCGATTCTCGTGCCTCAGCCTCCCGAGTAGCTGGAACTACAGGCGCCTGCCACCACACCCAGTTAATTTTTTGTGTTTTTGAGACGGGGTTTCACCGTGTTAGTCAGGATGGTCTCTATCTCCTGACCTCATTACAGGCGTGAGCCACCGCGCCCGGCCCCCTAATTTATTTTCTTTTATTTATTTATTTTGAGACGGAGTCTCTCTCAGTCTCCCAGGCTGGAGTGCAGTGCCGCCATCTCGGCTCACTGCAAGCTCCGCCTCCCGCGTTCACGCCATTCTCCTGCCTCAGCCTCCCGAGTAGCTGGGACTACGGGCGCCCGCCGCCACGCCCGGCTAATTTTTTGTGTTTTTAGTAGAGACGGGATTTCACCGTGTTAGCCAGGATAGTCTCGATCTCCTGACCTCGTGATCCGCCCGCCTTGGCCTCCCAAAGTGCTGGGATTACAGGCGTGAGCCGCCGCGTCCGGCCCCCTATTTTAATTTCTAAACACGGGAATATTGCCTAATTTGTAAACTCACAGTGAGGATTCAGTGAGATGATACTGAAGCCAAGCGTTCTGCGTAGTGCTTTGGTTCATAGCCAATGATCAGTATATACTTGTTGAAAAGATCAATTTAAAAACCACTTTTGGGCCGGGCGCGGTGGCTCACGCCTGTAATCCCAACACTTTGGGAGCCGGAGGTGGACTGACCGCCTGAGCCCAGGAGTTCCAGACTAGCCTGGACAACATGGCAAAATCCCGTCTCTAATAAAAATTCGAAAATTAGCTGGGAACGGTGGCGGGCGCCTGTAACCCCGGTGCTTTGGGAGGCCGAGGCGGGCGGATCACTTGAGGTCAGCAGTTGGAGACCAGCCTGGCCAACGTGGTGAAATCCCGTCTCTACTTAAAAATACAAAAATTAGCCGGGCGTGGTGGTGGGCACCTGTAATCCTAGCTACTTGGGAGGCTGAGGCAGGGAGAATAGCTTGAACCCGGGAGGCGGAGGTTTCAGTGAGCAGAGATCGAGCCACTGTACTCCAGCCTGGGCGACAGAGTGAGATCCTGTCTCAAAATTAAAATAAACCGGGCGAGGTGGCTCACACCTGTGATCCCAGCACTTTGGGAGGCGCGAGGCAGGTGGATCACGCACGAGGTCGGGAGTTTGAGACCAGCCTGACCAATATGGTGAAACCCCATCTCTACTAAAAATACAAAAATTAGGGGGCCGGGCGCGGTGGCTCAAGCCTGTAATCCCAGCACTTTGGGAGGCCGAGATGGGTGGATCACGAGGTCAGGAGATCAAGACCATCCTGGCTAACACGGTGTAACCCTGTCTCTACTAAAAAATACAAAAAAAAAAAACTAGCTGGGCGAGGTGGCGGGTGGCGGGTGCCTGTAGTCCCAGCTACTCGGGAGGCTGAGGCAGGGGAATGGCATGGACCCGTGAGGCAGAGCTCGCAGTGAGCAGAGATCATGCCACTGCACTCCAGCCTGGGCTACAGAGCGAGACTCCGTCTCAAAAAAAAAAAAAAATTAGTTGGGTGTGGTGGCACGTGCCTGTAATCCCAGCTACTCGGGAGGCTGAGGCAGGAGAATTGCTTGAACCTGGGAGGCGGAGGTTGCAGTGAGCCGAGATGGTGCCACTGCACTCCAGCTTGGCGACAGTGAGACTCCATCTCAAAAATAAAAATAAGTAAATAAATGTCACTTGGGGATTTTAGACAAGAGAGTGGCTCAATTCAATGGGTTTTTAAAAAAATCACTGGTGGCTGTGTGGAGAATGCAGTGTAGGCAACAAAAGGGGAAATAGCCGACCAGATGTGGACAGATGAGAGTGAAAGTTGAAGGGTCAATCAACAAGACTTGGCAACTGGAGAGGGTAGAGGAAAGGGTGGTTTCCAAGCTTTTGGCCCAAGTACCTGGGCAGCGCTTTGGTTACCATTCACTCAGGGAGAGGTATAGATTTAGGGGAGGAAATAAGTGGACTTTGGAGGTTCTTGATGCTAGTGTTTTATTTTTTGAAAAGGTAGATGAGCACTTTTAAAACCACATATACTGAAAGTATTAGTACAGTTCAGGCCAGGCACAGTGGCTCACGCCTGTAACAGCACTTTGGGAGGCCAAGGAGGATGGATTGCTTGAGTCCACAAAAAATACAAAAGTTAGCCTAGAGTGGTGGTGCGCTCCTGTAGTCCTAGCTACTTGGGAGGCTGACGTGGGAGGATTGCTTGAGCCCAGGAGATGGAAGCTGCAGTGAGCTGTGATGGTGACACTGTACTTCAGCCCTGGGGCAACAGAGTGAGACCCTGTCTGGAAAAAAGTATAGTTACAAAGAAATACAGATCAAAGGATGTGGATGCCAGGAGCCAGCAGTATGCCTTCATTGTTAACTATATAGTTTATTTAAACCAGACTATGATAATACAGAGAAGAGACTGAGGTGGCAGCTGCCCAGAATCTTTGTGGATTACAGATGAAAAGTAGTTAGGAGTCCCTGGATCCACACTTCAGTTACAGACAGACAAGTCAGCTGCATAAATACAGAGAACATGACACAAGACATTTCACAGCTTTTTGCATTTCCATTTCAAATGTATGTTACAGCTTTACATATTAAGTTACTACTCCACATATTTTGTGACAATGGCTAAGGATGCAATGGTCCCATCCCCCTGACATAAGCAGACTCTGGTCTGCAACACAGAACATTTCAGTGGGATACCAAACAAGTCCTTAACACATAACATACAAAAAGATCTTTAAAAATCAGATTAATACAATGTTCTTCATGTTATATAAGGAAGAAGAAAGGGAAGTAAAAAAAAAGACATTGGGGTGCTTTAAATGTATAGTATCTTGAGGCCTTAAATGTTTCATTCCCTTCCTCCAAAGGAGAAAAAAATGTTTAACTAATGGAAAAAGAAAGCAACATCCTAACGCCCTACAATGAGGAAGAACCCCATCCTGACAGTACTTAGATGCTTCCATGTAATAAATACAGCAGGTAGCAGAGTAAAGTCACAAGTATTGGCTTGGTTTTTATTTCTATGCTTATAAAAAAAAAATATGAAGCTTCTTTGTGTGGGCTGAAGGGGTGTTAGCTTGTGGATGTTGGTCTTCGGTGCCTGTACCCCAGTGGCTATTTACATTTCAGGCCCCTGCTAAATAAAGCAGGCTCCAATGCCAGCTGTCTGTACACTTTTTCCTGGGGGAGGAGTTCTTGTCTTCAGTTTACTGCAGTAGGGTTCCTGGCTCTATTACATGCTCATGTGTTCCGGAAGAACATATGAAATATCATCCCATGGATGACGATACAGCCCCTGCTTCAGCCTCTTCTGATCAAGATAGTGTCCTAAAATGAAGCAAACACATCTTTTTTATTAGAGCTTCATAAGCCTGGTGAGAGGGAGAGGCTAAGGAAGGGAAATCTTTCTAACACACAAAAAAGGTAGATACAAAGCAGTGGGAAGCTTAGTCCAAATCCATTCCATAGGTAGATGAGGCAGACTTTGTACAAGAGAGCTGTTGGATTTGATTCTATTTTCCTTTAAATTAAAACAAAATTTTAAAGGGAAAAAATAAAAAATAATAAAAATAGGCCGGACGCGGAGGCTCATGCCTGTAATTCCAGCACTTTGGGAAGCCAAGGAAGGCGGATCACGAGGTTGGGAGATCCAGACCATCCTGGCTAACACAGTGAAACCCCGTCTCTACTAAAAATACAAAAAATTAGCCAGGCGTGGTGGCACACACCTGTAGGCATGCGTCTGTAGTCCCAGCTACTTGGGAGGCTGCAGGAGAATTGCTTGAACCTGGGAGGCGGAGGTTGCAGTGAGCAGAGATCGCACCACTGTACTCCAGCCTGGGCGAAAAGCAAGACTCAGTCTCAAAAAAAAAAAAAATTAATTCTATTTTCCTGGGCTAGCAATCATTTCTAAGAACAAAGGAACAATGATAAAGATAAGGGGAAAAGTTAAAGTAAGAAAGAAAAGATTAAGAACAATGATTAAGAGGATATGACATTTCTTCTGTAGAAACTGAACCACAAAGAGAATTTAAAAAAGGAAAAAAAAAAGAAAAAAGAAACTCAACCCCATGGGTAAGTGGTATAGCTGAACCATGGGGGTTTAAAAACAAAAACAAAAACAAAAAACACTTAAAACAATAACAAATGGACTCACCAATGAAGCCCATACTCCTTCCCAGCACAAAGATGCCATTGAGGGCTCCAATGTCAATGTATTCATCAGCTTCCTCCCTGCAACACACAATCAACTTGTAGTTTTAAAAGGCTCACGTGACTGCCCTTCTCCTCAGACAGTACTACTACTGCCCAGGAATAGGAAAAGGGGTGCTCTAGGTGGTAGGATTACAGGCAATTTTTGTTTTCTTCTTTATACCTCTCCTTATTTTTCAAATATTCTATTCTGAGTATGCATTCCTTTTATAGTTTGGAGGAAACAACAAAAATCAACAAACGTAATGAAGAAAACAGCTGCAGTGCTCACCGAGTAAAGGACCCACAGTTTCTAAGCATGTCCACGAATGCGACTCCGATGAGACCATCTACGTTCAGGATAAGATTTGGCTTCTGGGAAGGCAAAACATTCAAAGCATTTATCATTATTTCTCATTTTTTCTTCAT